TGACAGAGAAACATTCAGTCCATCGCACTGTCCTCTTTTGCGTAATCATGCGTACGGGGAAAGGTAAGACAATTAACCAGGAAGAGATTTACCAGTAGGCAGCCAGCCACCTCTGTTCCTATTGTTGCCATTGTTATCCTGCCAAATGTGGACACAGCCCCCGGTACTGACAGCAGCAGGTGAAGGGTTCATCCATGCCACAACAGAAAGGCTTATTTAAATGTTGAAGCTAAACTGTAATTCCACAGTTCATTATGGCTTTGCTAAAAAGAGAAAACAAATACTATTCTTGGTTTCCAAATAACTGAAGTGAAGAGCACAAGCGGAAACGATGAATGAAGGTAGAAAGATAAGGACGTGACCAATGATTAGTCCAAGTCTCAGTATGTTATTAGGAGTTAAAACACATAACTACATTTCTAGTTTCTGGGACCTTACAACACCCATCTATTCTCTTCCTCTTTATCCATTGCCAGGTTGTGGATGCAGAAGTCTGTGCAGAGATGCCCAGAGTTACCTAACCACACACCTCATAGTCAAGCACCATCCCTGGATCTTCACTGGGTCTTCACGGGGTCTTCACTAGATCTTCACTGGGTCTTCACGGGGTCTTCACTGGGTCTTCACGGGGTCTTCACTGGGTCTTCACGGGGTCTTCACTGGGTCTTCACGGGGTCTTCACTAGATCTTCACTGGGTCTTCACGGGGTCTTCACTGTGTCTTCACGGGGTCTTCCTGGGGCCATCTCCTGGGGGGACATGCCCAGAACATCTCCCCAGGAACAGAGGCCCGAGCCAACTCAGCTATCCCCTCTTTATATGGAGAAGCAGCAGCTCTACTCAGAGCTCCTCCAGAGTGACTGACCTCACCCTGTCTCTAAGGGAGCTCCCTTCCTCTGCAGAGGAAACTCACTTCGATCTTGTTCAGATGAGGGGGGAGTTGGAAACATATCGATCCGGTAAATCGAGAGCTTAGCCTTTTGACTCCTCCTCTATCACAATTGTCCGATACAGCTCTGACTGCAGACGCTGCTCCCTCTTCGCCACAAGAGTCCAGCTCCATTCGCCCACAACAACACAACTACTCGATCAACACAACAATGGAAGGCAATACAATGTTTTCTTTGTGAAGTGCTGGGTTTGATTTCACCTCAGGTGAAGTCCTTTTCCTCCAGGTGCTCCGGTGTCCCCTTCCTCTAAAAACATAGTACAATAGTTCAGGGTGAATGAGTGATCTGTATTTACACCACAGCTCTTCATGAATGCACACTGTTCCATCTAAAATACAACAAATACATCTTCAATAACTTAAATGAGGTCAAAAAACAATAATATAATATTCAGCAGCTCTTGTTTGTTTATGAATGGATTTAGCTATTTATAATAGTAAAACCTAAAATACATAAATATTAATTTACCAGTGTTCATGTGTTTCCCTTGATATTTCCTCAGAACTTGCAGATTTAAACTCTCCCAGTTCCAGCCCATTCCATTGTACTGAGATATTACAAAGACAACAAAGCTGTTCACTTGTAATGTATTGTTTAAAATCTGGAACAGAATGGGGAGAGATGACACGCTATGACTTATAATGATTGATGTCAATAATGAAATTAACTGTCAAAGTCAGATGAAGCAGAATTTATGATGACTTTGCCAACATTTCTATCATTTTTAATTATTACATTTTAATATAATCCACTCTTGTTTTCTCATACATCTTAATACAGTGGAAAACAGTAAAACAGTATGGGTAACTCATTAACTTGTTGTTCTATTCCACTGTTTTCTGCACACACTCCAAATGGTAATACAAATTCACTTCATAAATATTTATATTGATCCATACCTACAGTATGACTTATGGAACGCTCGGGGCCCCCGTCAGGATCCTCCCTGAGGCGGATCCTGACTGGGGCCCCGGATCCAGGTCGGACACGTTGTTTGTGACGGAGTGGATTATTACACTGTACTAGTATCCTGTGGAAACGGCTGCGGTGTTCATCCATTATAACACTTTACCTCTCTCTATCTGCCTCTAAAAGTACAGATGCATCATGGGTAATGTGCTGTATGGATTCTTCATGCGCCTGAAGTGTTTGAGTGGTTTAAAAAATATATTGAATCCAAAAAGAACATCTTGGTATTGACAATGGGGAAGTTAAAACCCTGCTTACACCAGCCCTGTTTGGTCAGACCCTACTATACTCTCCTCTACTACCCTACTCTACTCTACTCTACCCTACTCTACTCCACTCTCCTTTACTACTCTACTCTACTCTACTCTACTCTACTCTCCTCTACTACCCTACTCTACTCTACCCTACTCTACTCCACTCTCCTTTACTACTCTACTCTACTCTACTCTACTCTCCTCTACTACCCTACTCTACTCTACCCTACTCTACTCCACTCTCCTTTACTACTCTACTCTACTCTACTCTACTCTCCTCTACTACCCTACTCTACTCTATCCTACTCTACTCCACTCTCCTTTACTACTCTACTCTACTCTACTCTACTCTACTACCCTACCCTACTCTACTCCACTCTCCTTTACTACTCTACTATACTCTATTCTACTCTCCTCTACTACCCCACTCTACTCTACCCTACTCTACTCCACTCTCCTTTACTACTCTACTCTACTCTCCTCTACTACCCTACTCTACTCTACCCTACTCTACTACTCTACTCCACTCTCCTTTACTACTCTACTCTACTCTACTCTACTCTCCTCTACTACTCTACTCTACTCTACCCTACTCTACCCTACTCTACTCCACTCTCCTTTACTACTCTACTCTACTCTACTCTACTCTCCTCTACTACTCTACTCTACTCTACCCTACTCTACTCCACTCTCCTTTACTACTCTACTCTACTCTACTCTACTCTACTCTACTCTCCTCTACTACTCTACTCTACTCTACTCTCCTCTACTACTCTACTCTACTCTACTCTCCTCTACTCTACTCTACCCTTCTCTACTCTACTATACTCTACCCTTACTGGGAGTCTTTCGCTGTTTACCCAATAACAATAATCGTTTAGTGCCTGCTTGGTCCTGGTTCTTTCCAGGCCGAGCTGGTACTAAAATGTTTTCACTGACAATGATTGGCTGGAGTGGCAAGGCAAGGCAAGGCAAGTTTATTTGTATAGCACAATTCATACACAAGGCAACTCATAGTGCTGAACAAGAAAGCATTAAAATCATAAATAATCACAGAAAATTAAAAAGAAAGATAAAAACATAATATCCCTCAGTTAAATGCACAGCTAAACAGAACTGTCTTTAACCTGGTTTTAAACATTGTCAGAGAGGAGGCCTGTCTCACATCTTCAGGAAGATTGTTCCAGATTTTAGCAGCATGAATCTGAAAAGCAGCCTCCCCATGTTTAGTTCTGACTCTGGGCACTAACAGGAGTCCAGTCCCTGTGCTCCTCAGAGTCCCAGCAGGAGTCCAGTCCCTGTGCTCCTCAGAGTCCCAGCAGAAGTCCAGTCCCTGTGCTCCTCAGAGTCCGGGCTGGTTCATATGGGACTAACATGTCACTAATATATTTTGGTGCGAGGCCATGGAGAGACTTGTACACAAGCAGAGCTGTTTTGAAGTCTATTCTCTGAGCCACAGGAAGCCAGTGCAGAGACCTGAGGACTGAGGACTAATGTGGTCTTACTTCCTGGTTCTAGTCAGGACTAATATGGTCGTACTTCCTGGTTCTTGTCAGGACTCGAGCTGCTGCATTTTGAATGTACTGCAGCTGTTTTACAGCCTGTTTGGACAGACCTGTGAGCTGGCCATTGCAGTAGTCTAACCTACTGGAGACAAATGCATGGATAAGAATCTCCAAGTCTGCTTTAGACACTATGTTTTTGATCCTGGCAATGTTTTTTAGATGATAAAAAGTTGCTGATGTTACTGATTTGGTGTGGCTATTAAAATTTAAGTCTGAGTCCAGTATTACCCCTAGATTTCTGACCTTGTTTGAAGGTTTTAGGGAGAGAGACTGTAGATGACAGATGACGCTCTCTCTTTGTTTCTGGGGACCAAAGACAATCATTTCAGTTTTGTCTGCGTTTAGCTGAAGGAAGTTGTTTTGCATCCACTCACTGATCTGTTGGATACAGTGAAGGAGTGAGTCCACTGGTCCATGTTCTCCTGCAGTCAGTGAGACATAGATCTGAGTGTCGTCTGCATAGTTGTGATAGGACACTTTGTTTCTGCATATTAACTGACCTAACAGCAGCATGTAGAGATTGAACAGAAGAGGTCCCAGGATCGACCCCTGTGGTACTGGAAGCCGTGGTTACCAAGGAATTTGCAGGTATTGGTTGTGGGTGTTCCACTATTGTGGGTGGTTAATTGCTAGGATATGGTACCAGATACTAAAGAGTAATGAAAACACAACAAGGTAGAGTAGAGTAGATAAGGCTGGTACGTACCTTTCCTGTAGCGTTGCTCGTCGACGACGTCCAATTCCACTTTTCCAGCACCTTCATGACTCTAGTGCCGACATCAAAATCTAAAAAATGTACAGAACAAACCAGAGCTCTCGTGGCGCTGTCGTTGTGTCTATATTTTATCAATAACTACTTCTAGCCCCGCCGTCATGTGTCCACGCAAGAGCCAGGCTGCATCCGAATTCAGAAAATGTACATCCTTCATTGTGGCCTTTCATGAGATGATGAAGTCCACAACCAGGTGGAGGAGAGCCAGTGAAGTTTGATACCATCCTAGTATGTTTCAATGCCACGTATGTCAAGTTGTATTCCATAAAAGTAATTTAGTAATGAGGAGGAAGGAGGAAGAAGGAGGGTTTTTTTGTTGCATTCAGACGAGATCACGGCTGTCCAAAAAAATAATATAAACTCGCGGGAGAAATAAGTATGGTTTGGAAAGTTTTATTAAATGTTTTCCACTAAAATATGTCATTTTCTTTTATTAAAGCAATTTGTTATTATTATCTCTCTCATGTTTTTGTTTATTTTTAAAACAGCCAATGCCGCCTACAGTCAAACGCAAATCGGGTAAGTGATATTTTAAATGGTTTTCGTGCCACAAGCTAAAGCTCTATGTCTGTCCCGCAGTCAATACAAATGTGAACTTCCACATGGGAAATACCCTTTCATCTGCCTTTAAAATGGTCCAGTTCAGAGATGTACCAATACAAAACATACCCAGCAGATACCACCCCCAAAAGGTTCTGGGGAAAGGCAGCTGTGCAGTTGTCCTCCAGTGTGAGGACAGCCAAACCAAACAGACTGTGGCTGTAAAGCTGTCCACATCTGTTGTTTCTTTAAAGACAGAGGTATTTGAATCACAATGCAAGGTATTTTAACTAATGTAAAACTAAAGCTAACATGTGCACCATGATATGTTAACAGGTCCTTCTGCTAAAACAGCTGAATGAGAAATCTGCAGAGGACAGCTTTGTGAAGGTCCTGAGTTCTACATGGCCATACAGGTGTCTGGTTATGGAGATGCTGGACATGGACTTCAGTAGCTATGTCCGTGAGAATGCTCCCATGAGGCTTCAGGACATACGGACAGTGATGGAGCAGGTTTGACTTCTTATAATGATACAGTAGTGTACTAATAAGTATTTAAATCTATGGTTTTTGAACCGTAGCTCGCTGTGGCGTTAAAGACTCTCAAGAACAACCGCATTATCCACACTGACTTCAAACTAAGCAACATTATGCTGGAAGATACTCGTCAAAAACCTTTGAAAGTGAAAATCATTGACTTTGGCCTGGCCGTTGTAGCTGAAGTGGCGAAAGAGGAAGTTAGACAGCCTTATACTTACAGGTACAATACACAATCATCTCTGACTTGGTCCACCGAGCACAGTTACTATATACTTTCACTTATACTTGTTTGCTTCCTTAATTAGGGCTCCTGAAGTCATTTTTAGGCTCCCATTCAGTGCTGCGCTGGACATCTGGTCATTGGGCTGCATCATGGCCAACATGGCCTTTGGGGTGTACCTGTTCCCGGGCAAAACTGTCTTCAATCAGGTACAATCACCTCCATCAGAGGCTTTTCTTCATTTGTCATTTCCCTTTTACAACATAATGGAAAATGTGTTTCCAGCTCTATTACATGACCATGCTTCTCGGTCCAGCCCCTCAACATATTCTCAATTCATCAGCTGTGACTAAACACCATTTCACTCTCACAAAAAGAGGTTGGGTTTTAAATGTAAGACTCACTATCGATGTAATAAAGGATTCCAATGTCACTTGTGTTAACATGTTCTTGTTCTAGTGTGTGCCAAAGGATACGGAGAAAGAGCTCCTTCGCCACAAAAGCTACAGCCTCACTGAACTAGATGCAGCCAAAAGTGTACGTCTGTAATGTTTATTCATATTTAGAAATGTATGTATATGTATATGAGTAGTTTAGTTGCAAAAACAGATAAGTGCAATTACAGTAGGACAATATTTGAAAAGTTTACAATTTGGCCCATTACCAAGCAGTTTTTTGATAACCAGACATATTTTAGTGCCATATAAATAGCGTTACATCCTTTATTGAGCACATTCTCTAAAATCTTCTGTCATTAGCAAAATATATTGAAGATTGTAGCGAGATGAACACAACTTTTTCACTAATTTACAAAACTGGGATAACCGTTTTTGCAAGAACTCCTCAGATAATGTATGTATATGTTTACAAGTATGTATTTGAATGTTCATGTATATATATGTTATGTGTATGTATATGTAAATGTATAATGTATATGTTTATGTATTTCTGAGTTTTGGAGGCGTTTTGACCACAGATTCTGTGTCCAGGTGCGACTGGAGCCTTCTAACTGTGTGGAGGCTGAAGAGCGAGAGCAGTGCATAGAGCTTCTCAAGGCGATGCTAACGTGGGACGAGAAGGACAGGATCACGGCCCGGGACATCCTCCAACACCCGTTTATCACTAGAAGTTTCCTCAAAGCCGACCATAAGTGAGCGCACACCTTTTCTAACTTCTCTAGAGCCTTGTGCAGTTTCTCAACGCATTGATTTTCTTTCAATAGCAAAGACAGTCCAGCGGATGTGGACCGTTTGTGTTATCCATCAACTTCACAATGGTTACAGTCCGGATCTGCAGAGAACGGGAGCACTGCACTGAACGCGCTGAGCCGTGAGTCATGTTCAGAGACGTCTTTCACAACCAGGATTTGAGCGACCCCCGTCCATTATATTTGCGGATAAAAGCATCTGTTCCCGTCTTTCTTTAGCTGCTCTTTCTCGTGGATGCATGAAAAACTGCACATCCATTATGTGACGTACATTACAGATACATGTCTATAATATATTTGACTTTTGAAATGTAAAATGTGTGGTTCTGGCTGATAAGGACCACATGGCTCTGAGGTCCAAAAAACTGGTCCACTATTTTGGGTCATACATACATCATACGACTGTCTAAAATGTTTTGTAAGAAAAGGGCAGTTGATTTCTTGGCAGAGCCCCTCACCAACATTTTTTATCTGACTTTGTCCTTCTAGACAATTCCTACAATTTGGAGAACCCATTTGTATGTCCTCCTTTCAAAGATAGTGACACATCTGCAGAATAATGACAGACCGATACCAAAAGAGTCAATTCTTTCAAAGATTTTGGCAAGTTTATTAAACTAAAAACGTATCACGGACTCGTTATTGGAGTCCGATGGAGCCTTTGACTCTGTGGATCCTTAAACATTAAAGCAAACACTTATTATGGGATAGTATATTTTCAAATGTATCTCAAAGGATCAAACGTACCTATGCTCAGAGGCCACAGGGATCTATGTATGCTAACAAAACAAAATTGATGCTTTTCTCTAGAAGACCTGTGTGTCTGGACTGATTCTTTGTTTATATGATTTTACTTCAGAAATAGTTAGTTGTTTTCTTTTTATACACACTGGTACACACACACACATACACACTCACACACACACACAGGTATACTGGAATAAACACTGGCACAGACACACACACGTAAAGACAAACACACTGGTACAGACACACACGTTTTTGTTACCTGGTGGGTCCCTTTGACAGGGCCGTTCAGAATGGGACCCATAGACATAATCTTTTTTTACTGGGACTACTTTAAGTAATACAAAACAGTCAATAGAAACCAAACAACTATTTTAAAAGAATTTGATTTTTGATTTTTTTTTCGAATTGCAGTGATTCTATTTTTGACATAGAATTTAATGCCACTCCATGTCCGATGTCTAAGGTCATCTGGTGAGGCATTAATGCAGGCCAGGCCAGGCCAGGCAGTGAGACTTCCCAGGGACTTTTCCAGTCTGTATGAAAGGCGTCATGGTCTTCTCCACAGCCTTCACCTCAGATGCAGACCATGGCTTTCTCTAACGTTCTAGGGAGAGAAATAAAAATATATTAGCACTATACACTCCCAGGGTTAGGACCAAGCAGCCTGGCTGTAATCCCCCACCTGGTACACTTACCAGAAAGGGCACTGCCACTACCATGGGGTGCATCTGGATGAATGGTTGAAGGTTCTCCGCTTGAAGTTTCTTTTAGCCCGTCCGTTTGTGAGAGGATCTCTACTGCTCTCCCTGTCGCACAGAAAATAAAAATACAAGTGGCCTTTAGGGGAAAAAAAATCATACATATTTTAATAATATCAAGAATTACCTTCAGGCTCAATTTGTATCTGGTCGAGGCTCTTTCCTTCGAATTCCGTCACTCTTCCCTGCTCCATGGCCATTAACACTTTGCTGATTTTGGCCAGCTCCAGTGTCCCCTCTGGTAGTCTGTAATATTGTCTGTGGATGCGAATGTCATGGCCGAGGAAGTTGGCTAGTATGTCCATTTCATTCTCTTTCATATTGAGAACTGTAGACATAGTAGCTATGTGCTTTCTAAGTTTGGTTGAGGATAGCATCTCTGGATGCACCGCACCACATTCTTTGGCTACCTGGCGTAGGGAGTCTGATCCCCTGATGTGGGTGTCTGCGCCCGGGCGGGAGAAGAAGTATGGGTTATGGTCAGAGATGGAACAGGCCCTTCTGTTCTCCACCAGCACCTCCATCGAAGCAATCATTTCAGGAGTCAAAAGAACCGGCACTTTCCGATTTCTTTTCACTTTAATTTCAATGCGTTGAAAATGCTGACACAGCTTTTTCTCAAGTTGGGACAGTCCCAGAGCAATGTCAGAATGGATCCCAGTCTTACTTCTTAAGGTAAAGGCTGTCAGTGGCATCTTTGAAACCTCACCTTCCCTTCTTCGATTGAAAATAATGACCTCACAAAGAGTCAAAACTGCCAGTTTAGACCAATGCTTAGACGTTGGCTCACTTATTAGGGTTTGCACATATTCAGGTCGACATACCTCAATATGTGCATGCATGGCTCTAACGTCCTCAGTCAGAGGGAGCAGGTCCGGAGTGTTCCACTTGGCTTGCCGGAGGGTCTGTAGGGCAGCAGAAGAAACACAGACGTCCCACCTCTTCTCAAAAAGCAGCCGGCTTCGTTGGAGGTTTTTAATAAATAGTTCATCAACACAATGCTCCATTTTTGAGTCACATTCAAGAATATCTGCTTTCTGAGGCTATGGCAGAGTTTGAGGGCCAAGGATGGAGTCTTGTATTGATTTGTTTCCTCATCATATCCAGCCACAGACCTGACTGCATCAATCACATGGTTAAAGTTGGAAGGAATAAAGAAATCCTTCATTGTTTTCAGTTTCCTTGCGGTTTTTGCTTCGTTAATTAACCTACCAACTTCTCTCATTTTCTGCCTAATGTAATCATGCTTAGTCTTATCATGCCCGTGTTTTAAGTACAGGTGCTCTCCGAGTCTCAGAATCCCCTTTTCTGCTTTGACAACACCCGTGACCTCATCCTGATGCATTGCCCAAATTAAAGACCACAGCTTTTTGCTGATGCCCTCCGGTACAGGCTGGGCTAGGGAGCAGAGGGACTGGACCCTACTTCTACCTGGTTTAGCCTGGTTTAGCCTGGGCATCTTTCTGTGAAAGCCGGCACCTGGCCACATGCCTCCACAGCGACTTTCGCTTAAGCAATGCCCCACAGTCTATACAGTGCAAAAACTCACTGGATTTAACTGGGCAATTTGGCTGTTTAGCTGGGACTAAAGTTCCAATGCCGGCCTTTAAAACCTCAAAATTGTGCTCACGGTTTCCACTATTCCTGATCAAATCAAACTGAAGTTTACGTGCTTTAGATTTCACAGGTAGAGCCAATGCTCTGGCTACGTCACTTTCATTTCCATGTTTTCTAGTCAAATGACGGGACATTTTGTGGCAGGACATTGAACAGTAGAGGCAGAAGTGTCTCTTGCTGTAAACTCTCCCCCCATTTTTCTTCTTTTGCAGCTGCATGATAACAATCTTATTTGCCTTTGGTTCGTCACTTTCCGAGTCTTGAAGAAAAGGGTTTTTGATTTTTCTTTTTCCATACTTTTTTACAGGTTTCTTCTTGACAGTTAAATCGTCAGAATCTGAGTCGACTTCATCAATTAGGGACTCTTGACTAAGCTGCACAAGCAACAAATAATTTGTAATAATTCTATATAACAATTTGAAGTCATGACTTGTAGTCAGCACTTACCAGTGGTTTGTAAGCGTGCGCTTCAGTGTGCTCCTCCATGATTTCTTGCAGCCTAATGAACCACACACTTGCACCTTTTCTAGCCTGACACCTGATTTCCTCTGTTGTGCTGCTCCATGATTGGCTCCAGCCTGCTGGACTGAAATTGCCCCAGTGTGCCCCTCCTTGATATTCCGCAACCCACCACCAGGGTTCCGACACATAACACACTTTTTTCAGGAAAGTAAACCTCCAGGGGTCCTTTCCATATTTTTACAGAGACTGCATAAGGACCGTTAGAAAAGCATTACCCATTGATTATTAAGCTTGGACCAGTGGGGTCCGGTGTTCGGGCCCCACCACGTAAAACCAGTCCCCATGACGTGAGCGGAATCTCAGGTTATGGAACCCACCAGGAGTTGAAAACAAGTGCACACATACACACATACACCGGAACAGACATACACACATACGGACAAACACACTGGTACACACATACACACACACACCAGAACAGACATACACACATACAGACAAACACACTGGTACACACATACACACACACACACACACACACACACACCGGAACAGACATACACACATACAGGCAAACACACTGGTACACACATACACACCCACAGGTACTCACATACAGGTAAAGACACACACAAACACACGCACACCTGAATAGACATACACACATACAGACAAACACACTGGTACACACCGGAACAGACATACACACTTACACACAAACACACACAGGTACTCACATATAGGTAAAGACACACACACAGACACACACAGGTGCAGACACACACAAGAACACTGTCTTCCAGCTCTGTCCTCTGACCTCACACAGACCTCAGTGTGATGTCACACTCTGTCTCAGCGTCAGAACAGAAAGAGAATCATGTCTTTTCAGTGTCGCGCTTCTACAGAAAAGTAATAAACCGTTCACTCCTGAGCGACCCGGACGCACAATCAGTGACCTGCTGTCGTTCATAACTGAATTATCTCCTTGGATCTATTATAATAATATCTCCTGTCTGTTTGGAGGGCGGCACAGTGGTTAGCACGTCTCAGCAAGAAGGTCATGGGTTCAAAACCTAGTCGGAACAGGGTCTGGAGTTGGCCTCATTTCCCTCTGGGTGCTCCAGTTTCTGCTGCCATGTTTCGATATAACTGAATGCATTGATGTTTTATATTCATGTTTTGAGGGTTCAATCTGTGAATGTCTTCCGGCTCTGTCCTCTGTCCTGAGAGAGGTCTTTGAATGTCCTGGTTAAACAAAGGGTAAATTAAAAAATAAGAATCAATAACAACCACGCCTTTTTACAACTTTATCCGTCTGTTTCTCTTGCTAGCATTCTCTATCTATCTATTTATCTATCTATCTATCTATCTATTTATCTATCTATCTATCTATCTATTTATCTATCTATCTATTTATCTATCTATCTATTTATCTATTTATCTATCTAGAGTGCAACAATGAGGTCGTTGAATAATAAGAATACAATCTCTATTTTTAATACAGATTACAGGTTCAGCGTACAACCGAATAAGAACAAAGAATAAAAACACTGTAAACATTATACTGTAAATAAAACAGACAAACATTGTGTAGTCGCTAAAAGTAACAAGTTCAGAACTAGAATGGGAGAGTCCTGAGATTCTTTAGCTCATTACTGAAAGTGTCAGTCATTAGTTTTGTGTAACTTTCTATTGGGATTTATTAAAACAGTCACTTTTCCACTACAGTGGCCTCAGTAAACCACAGCTTCCTCCATTAACACAGCTCTGCACTAACAAGACTGCTTTTATATTTTACTCTAGAACATTTTTCATAAAAGAAATAGGTTGTAAAAAATAAAGCATGTTTCAAAGACGTGAAGGCATTTTCCGATGTGAACACGTTTTGGTTCGGGCGAGTCCACTCTCTGTGAATAGTGGAAATAAAATGTAATTGAAGCTTAAGAAACATGTTTAACCTTATCATTCAAAAACCTCACGACGGCCATGCAGTGAAAAAGTGACTTCGGAGTTACCGCTCAGGCATATTAGAATTTTGCATCCGTGGGTTTATGATTTGGGCCGAATGGTGTGGTCCTATATAGTTGACCAATACAACTAGAGAAAGTATTGGCACAAGTGAAATGTACCCATCCAATAACATGCCCTGGTTTCTACAGCAGATACACAACTACAACATGTAACTTTCTGGTGAGATCAAATAAAACTTAAACCGATTTTAACAAATGTTTACCTGTGGGTGATATTTGGTATTATTCAGAAAGTTGACTTTACTTTTGTGCGATTGTAAGAAGGCTCTAAGACATGTTGTCCACCACAGAAAGTCTCACTCATGAATTGACAATCACACAAACACATAAAAACTACAGTCTTTGCCTCCAGTGTGCGGCCTCCAAAAGGTCCAGATATATCAGAGAAAGGAAACGGCCTTCTCAGTGCTCTTTGTGCCGGGGAGAGTCTCCAGGGGCCAGTCTTATGTGGACGCCTGCTCTCCTGTGTGGTAGTTATTGGCTTCTGGTTGTACGTACTCCTCTGTTTTGTCCCAGTCTGCCGTCCAGCCCCCTCTGGACACAGGCGCTCCTCCGTTGGGGTCCGCTCCCTGGTCCATGGCTCCATATCCTCCACTGGTCCGGTACAGCTCCTCCGTCTCATTGGCCAGTTCGTCCTCATCCAGAATGCCACACTTTTCATCACTGGTCTGCTCTGGCTCTGCCCACGCCTGCTTCTCTCCTGACGCAAAGAGACCTGCATCACAGAGAACACTGTCAGAGTCGTGCTGTTACTGTAATGTGGAACCATCTTGGTATAGAAAGTGAAATCACCATAAAATATGACTCCTCCATAATGGACCAAGGAAGCGATGAGGAACACGCCCTGCCACTCCTCACGCGTCTACGGCAGAAGAGCGAGACGTGAAAAGTACAGTTTCACAACATAGTGAGTAGTATTGGTGTAACGGAGGCAACAGGAAACTAACCCAAAACGCTACTGGAAAAATAATGGATTAAATATTTTGATTGATTTTTATTTTCCTCAGTTTTTGTAAAGTCTTTGAATAATATGAGGGACACGAATCACAAAATATCACAGAATTTAATCGCAATACTCGCCGTATCACGATATGTTTAGAAATGAAATACAGTTTTTCTCAGTCGCTTTGGTGCATTTCTCACATCATTCTTCACATTTGCACAACTGTTGGTGCATTTCTCAGAACAATTAGTGTAAACTGCAGAACCTCGTGGATAACCTGCAAAAGTGCGTCACTTTCTCAAAATGAAAAGTGTTTTCCTCAAAAGCAAGTCCAAACGTTAATGAAACTGTCTATGTCGTCAAAATAATATGTCCTAACAACATTGAGTATGAACATCCCAGTCAAATGACTTAGTCATGTTTTCATTGTGAAAGTTTACTCTCTGTGTTTTCAGTGTAAAAAAGTCAGATCTCGGTGACACTTGAGCACGACTATGAGCTCACTATACACGACCTGTGCAGCCATTTACAGTAAAAACTACAGTAAAGTTACACAAAGACTGTATTTAGAGACGTAACTGACATATATGTATGTATGTATGTGTGTATCTATGTATGTATGTATGTACTGTATGTATGTGTGTATGTATGTATGTATGTACTGTATGTATATGTATGTATGTATGTATGTACTGTATGTATGTATGTATGTACTGTATGTGTGTGTATATCTATGTATGTATGTATGTATGTGTACTGCATATGCTCTTTGTATTTTTGTTGCACAATGCTGTAGAAGTGCAGACACATACATGTATATACATTGAACAAACATACAGAAATATCATTATGGTATAACTGTGACAAAAATAAACAATAAAGCACACCTCAGAGTGAAGCTGAAATTCACCTGAGATAAATTGTTCAATTTAGGAAATATTTACAGGAAAAAAAAGATAAAGGAATGTATGAAATTAGCTTGACAGTTATGATTTTGAGAACTAGTTCAACAATTGTGTATGTGATGACCAAAGCAATTAAATGAGAACAGTTAGTTTTATAGTGAATGACTATTCAGAAGTCATAAGTATGTTTAATTCTGACTGACAGGACAGAAGCAAATGATAATGTTAAAAAAACGCCGAGAATTGTTTGAAAGTTATTGATACATGAACGAAAGCATTTGAAATGTGTTCAGAGGAATGAGAAACTGCCGTGATGATGTGCACCAATGACCCAATGTTGTGGAGGTTGAACTAATAGTTTTGAGAAGTTTAAGTCTGATGTGAGAAATGCACCAATGCAACTGAGAAAAACTGTAATATTGCAATTTGGGCCACAATATTGCAATACTCTCAAATCGTTCCATTTTTGCCAAAGTCATTGAGCCTTTTAACTTTGAATATTGAGGAGCTGTTGAAGAAAGTATCGGTGTGAGCTGCAGAGCCTCAGAGTGTAGTGTTTGTTTAGAAACAGACTGAAACATATACATTTGGTCGATAGTATGTTTGAAGATGTGCGTGGTTTTAGCGCCCCCTGTTGGCTGTGTTCATGATTACTGTTTAAGAGAATCTTTGACGTGACTGAAATAATACTGTGTTTGTGACTTTATTCAAGAAATTATACATTATGAGGTAATAATGGATTGAATTGAGTGTTTGTTTGTTTTTTATCTTAATCTGAGTTAATTTCTGACTGTTTTGGGACATTGCCATTTAGTCTTATTTCTAAAGCAACATTTCTTATATCTTTTTTAAAACAAGATAATTTTGTCTTGTCCCATTATAAATCTAGTTTTAAGGCAATCCTAATGTGCTCAAATTAAAAAACATTTCGCCAAATTTGAGCAATTTTTGACTTCAATTCCATCACTTTTTGCAGTGTAAAAATGCATAATTCTATAGTATTTCAGTTCACTTCTGCACAGCCTCTTGTTTGCAGACTGTGGAGGCTGCTGGCAGTAATGAGACATTTTGTTCTGTGCTGTTGGCTCACTGCTGCCCCCTACTGTGCGCTCGCTCCATGTGTATCGAGGATCTCACCTTGTGCTTTGTCATGGCCCCTACAATCAGAGGGCAGACCATTCCAGACAGAGTGCCCACGCCGTTGGAGATGCCCATGAGGATACTGGCGTAGCGTGGAGCGATATCCAAGTGATTCACGTTGAAACCTTTAAAAAAACAAACTAACGCTTTTACAGTTTTCCTGCTGAGACTGGGTCCATGAGAGAGCAGAATGTGTTTCAACCTGAAATAGCAAAACCAGAGAAGCCCACGGCCAGCACCAGGAACGTGATGGCCACTCCCTTGGTGTGAGAGAAGCCCACCACCAGCAGCAGCGTGGCCTCCATCCCGAAACCTGGACAGCACAAACAAGCACAGAGAAAGATAGTTTTATTACCTCAGAGTGCTTTTCATTTCTGCAATTTAATGGTTTCTCGTTTCTCACAATGACCTTACAGGGCCTGATACTGACGCTGCTTCCCACTAAGAGATCAGTACACAGCAGCCCTCTCTATTTCACACTCCTATTGATTTCTTTTGCCTCATCAGAAATAGACCAAAGGCAGAACTGGTTTGGTTTACTGAAGATTCTCCTTTATGCAGCTAATGTGTTCTCCAAAAGGTTCAATATGAAAGTAGACATAAGTAAAAATGTCATGTCTACTCATCATTAAAGGGCCCTAATCTGTAAAAAAGGCATTGATAAAACATGCTCTTTTCCAATACTTCTTTAACTGATAACAGTAGTTCAGAGATATTTGGATTTCAATATTAATTTTCCAGCCCCTAAATCTTGTTATTGTTTTCATTTCGATGTCCCGCCCTCCACCGTTTGACCAATCAGAAAGTCAGTGATCCAGGTTGCCAGAACTCACCGCGTTGAGCTAATCTCACTGGTAAAGTGCCATGTGGCCGCAGAACTAAAAAAGGTCTCGTTATGATTCTCAAATCGTTAAGGACAAGGATTTCTATCTATGTGATTAAGGTGTTGGTTATGGATATAGATATTTATTCAGATATTATGGTCCCAGCTGGATTTGTCTGCATATCTGGCAACCTGAGTCAAGGAGAGTGCAGTACCACTTTTGTCCAGATTTTTACATACTGATCCTTTAAAGGTGTTTGAATCCTGTCTTACCTCCACAGTTCATGAGTTTTCTAACATTGGTCGTGGTCATGATGTGATTTGATCGGAGATGGTCGGCTATCTGTCCTCCGATCGGGACGATGATGGTCATTACCAAGTGAGGAAGAGCAGAAACAATACCGACCTGACAACAACAAAAAAACAGTGATTTCATTTCATTTTGGTGCTATGTGAATCGGGTGCAGCTCTGCAGACTGCCACCTGCCCGACCCAGAAATGGATTAAGGGGAAGAAAATAAATGATTGGGTTTCATTTCAACCAAAGGATTTACACGTGAAACTGAAATTTGACTTATGTAATTCCGCTTGCAGACTCATCCCAGTAAAAAAAAACTAAACTAATGTAACGTCTCAGAAAATGAGAATAATAATCATCCACATTATAACAAACAAAGGCATGCGTCACTTTGTAATGAGTCCAAGATTAAGATTAAGAGATTCTATATGTTTTACAGTGGGGTCATATACTACAGTGGCATTTTAAGTCAGTAGCTTGATCTTGACCTTGTAGTAGCTTGTAAATTAAAGTATTTTTCACAAACAATAGATTGAAAAAATATAGTCTTTCTCCTATAACCACCACTGTCCAATCAGAAATCAGCGAGAGAATGGGTACAGGAAGCTGGTGCCTTGGAAAATATGTATCTTTCTCCACAACTCAAAATGTACCTGACACATTTAGTTTAACCCTTTAATGTTCTGGCCACGTATTACACATTATTATTATTATTTTAACCCCTCTTTTTTATCTTAGGCTTTTACCAAATTGTTGAGATGCAGTTTGATGGTAAAAGTGAGAATCTGAGATAAAAATAGGTACATTTCGGTTCCAAGATTTAAGGAAATAGAGACTCAAAATGTGAATACCAAATGGTCGAGGAAAACATTAAAGGGTTAAATTGAATTACATAAATGGACTTTTGAACGATATTCTTATTTTCTCCGAGTGTCACTTGTACATTAGCTACTCTTCTGTTCTAGACTGACCTTGCTGATCTCAAATCCAAACACCTCCTCAAAGTAAGCCGGCTGGCTGATGAGAAGCAGGTAAAAGGTCCAGCTTCTGCAGAAGTTGGCCACAATAATGGCGTACACAGGCATGGACGTGAAGAACGCTCTCCAGGGAGTGTTGAATTTCTATGAAAGTGTTTGACCAAGATTAGTTTTGGAACAGAGGAAAGTGTTGGTGTGAGTTTGTCTGTGTTCTCACTGTGATCGATTGCTGAGCTGTTTCTCCTATACTTTGTTCGATGTACGTCCTCTCCTCCTCTGTGATGGTGGGGTGAGCGGCTGGACTCTGGTAAGACACCAGGATCCAAAAGCAGTACCACAGAATCCCAAAAGTCCCTGAAAGTTGTTTGAGTATTAGTGAAAGTAATGATCCAGGGCTTTCAAATATGTTAGAATCAAAGCAATATCTAACAATAAGCTCATTATAAGGAAATATGTGAAGTTCTTACCATAAACGTAGAAAACAGATGACCATCCTGTGTACTGGACCAAGACCCCCGCTAAAGGCATGGCAATCACAGCTCCAGCATAAGACCCTGAAACACACAAACTCCTGCTGAAGAAATGCACTTAAAGATAAACCACAATATGATTTCTGTTGTTCAGATGTACCACAGAAAGCTGTCGTTGCCAAACGGCTTCTTTCAAGAGGCGGCGCCCATTTTGCCCAAATCCCATGACAGGCCGGGTACGAGACTCCCTTCAAGATCAGAACAGCACTTTTAGAAATAGAAATGGCCGTGTAATCTTCAATCACATCTGATATCAGAAGCTAACGGCTTGTTACTGCCGCTGTGTCCTTAGGCAAGACTCTCCCCCCACATTGTGTCTTCAGTGGCTGCACTTGTGTGTGAATGGGAGTGTTTGTGGGAGCGTGTGCAGGACAATGGCCGGGCATGAGCCCAGGGCCATGTCCAGAGTGCATTATATGTGCTCATAAAGCAGCACTGGGAGAGCTTGCAGACAGCGTGCACGCCACCTGCACGTCTCCATGGCAACAGCGAGTCAAACACAGAGGAGATGATGTACATGTCAGGTTTGTTGAGACGCAGACCCTCAGAAGCAAGTATTTATATGATATAAAAAATATATACAAATGCATTGGTTTAGTACAGAGCTTTTTGGACACTCAAAGACGCTTCACGTGTCACTATACTTTCACAGTGGTGTTAAACGACTACTGTAGCCACAGCTGACCTGGGGCACACTGACAGAAGCGAGGCATCTTGTCAGCCCCCCCACTACCACTAACCATTCACACACACACACAAGCCTCAGTCTAATGTGGGGGAAGTGTCTTGCCTAAGGACACAACCACAGGTCGCCCCACTGTGACTCCTGATGTTTCCAGAGGTCTCCCATTACAGTACTAACCAGGCCCTACCCTGCATAGCTTCAGAGTTCTAACAGGATCTGGTTTTGTGATGCCTATTTTCACTGAAATGCACAGTGTACCTCCACGAGTCCTTGAAAGATCCTGACGAGGATGACGCAGCCAAAGTGGACCTTGGCGGCTGAGGGGATGAGCATGTTCAGGCAGGAAGTGGCCACTATAGCAAAGCCAAACACTCTGACGGAGAAGAGACACATGTTAGTGGTATTCTGTCTAAGAAATAAACTTACTGTAATAAAGTCCTTTCTAATAAGATGCCTGTATCTTTCTGCTTCTTACCTGTTGGCTGCAAACTTCTGACATATAAACCCTCCCGGGATCTGAGTCACGATGTAACCCCAGAAGAAGGAACCGTGAATCATTCCTACAGTCTCGGGGTCCCACTCGAACTCAGCTTTCTGATACAACACAAACATAACAGGTTAAGATTCTTTATTGGTCTCACAGCGGGGAAATGTCAGTGTTGCATCAGCAGTTACTGAACAGTAAGAATGAGGAGCACACAGCACAAGGTAAATGAACAATAACTCTTCTAAATAAAATAGAATAAAATCTCTAGCACTAACATCATAAAGAAACAAGAAAAAATCTCTGAATTTATCATAAAAAGAATTATAAAATCTCTATATTTAGCAGAAGAAGTACACAAACTCTGACTTTATCATAATAAGGAAGCACAAAATCTCTATCTTTGGCATAATAAGAAGCAAGTATAAAGAACTGTGTATTCTGGTTAGACAAAGTTCTATGAAAGCACCCATAATAGATATTTTTATCATGATTTAAAACTCGTCCATTTGGCTATTGGCAAACAGAGCCACCAGGATTCGGCTTGAGTCGTACCAGAGCCTTCCTCACACTCTGGTCCCAGCTGGGGTCTCTGCGCTGACCCGGCGTCCTGTTTGTTTACATGTGCGTGGCTTTGTGGATCACTGACCTCTATGTACTGCTTGTTATCCCTGAAGACCGTGTGCTCATTGACCATGCTCACGATGGCCACGCCGAGGTTACAGCGGATGCCGAAGGAGATGCAGAAGCCGATGCCGGAGAGGATGGCGATGATGTATCGTCGTGGCAACCCAAAACACGTGCAGTCAATGACAGGCAGCTCCTTCTCCTCCACGATCTCCGGACGACCCTCTGCGGACAACTCGATGGTCTCTCCGTTCTCCTGCTTCTTCTCAAGAGCTCTGTAGCAAGAATTATACATTTCACATTTTAAGGTAGTATTAAACGTTGATAATGTATGAATTAACTGTAGCTGATCATTCCACATTTTTACTCCAATCAGAGACACACATCTGTTTTAATGTAAGTTCTGGATGAAGCAAACCTCTCCGATTGTAGCAACTATATTTATTCCTAAATTACAACAGTAGATACAGTATCTCGGAGGGCTTCACAAAAACAGCGGATTCTCAACAGTTCAAAACACAGGAAATATAATTATAAAAAACACATAGAGCCCTTTGTCCACATAAAGAACAGATATGATGCTGAATAGACCACGTTGCGGCCAATTTAGATACCTACTATTGTCCTATTTTTTGGGCTAATTTTCAGTTTAATTGATACTATGATTATTGTTGTATTTATTTAGGTGGTGAGGGAGGTTTTTGTTTAAGTGCACTGCCTTAAATGTCCAGTTGGGAGTATACAGTACTTCAAGGTGGAGTTAGCCTGGGTTAATAGGCATTTATTTTCTTTTTGGTGATTTTTTTCCTTGGATTTTTCTTGTGGACAACTGTGGAACCTTTGGAACGAATAAATTCATTAAATCACCTTAATCCTATCAAGTTTTGGACATTCATCACTGCACACCATGAGCACGTCAATCAGAAAGTGACTACAGTGGATTTTTCGGTCACTTCAGACCTCATAGTGACCATTTAAGTTGCCTATTTCATTCACATTTGTGCTGTACTCTAAAAGCTGAAGTTTTAAGATTGGAAATATGGAAAGAGAGAGTTTTCTGTCTTGTGGGAGCAGTGTTTCTTGGAGATCAATGACTTTCTTACACTGCAAAAAGTCACAAAAATGGCGTGAACTACATCTGTCTTTCTGTGTCGATGGACCTATACAGTATCAACATGCATCCACATATTTCAGAAGACCTTGTCCATGCCCCAATGGAATTCAGAATCCTTTCTCTCAGTGATTGGTGTTTGCAGTGTGTATAAATGTATAAATGCACTTAAATGGGTTTCCAGATGCATCCAGATGGGGTTGTGTTCACGGCTGTCCTCTCCTGTCTCTTATTGCTCACTGAACTGTCTTCTCTCTCGCAGCTGACGAGAGGTGTATTTCTGTGCGTTAAGTTGATCTCCTCATTACACAAGAGCAGCGAGAAACACAAAGAACAAACCGCGGCGGTAAATGTCAGGCCGCTCATGCCTCTGACTGTGCTGGAGATCTCGGAAACATGATTCTCCTTCTTAAAAACACGTATACATGTGTCCAAATGCAGCCTCTAGATTGACTGCTTTTGTGTGCTATTATTAGGACATTGTGCATTATTAGGTAGGCTTACAGGTGCACATAGTCTCCTTAAAGATAATAACAGTAAAAAGTGATACAATAATAAAATGCAGAAAAACACAGACTGTCGGGGAGAACAAGAAAACACACATGGCACGATAAAAACACATACAAAAGAGATATTTACAAAGCAATTAGTAAAGGGGTACCTAAACTAATGCTTACATGTCTGCTGTGGTACTAACCAGTTATTCAGATGTATTTTGAAATGTGAGTATGGTGTAGATTCTCTTATATTTGCCGGGATGGAGTTCCAGTCTCTGCCAGTGGTACAGTATAGTAGTAGTTTATGCACTGCACTTGTCATTCCCTAATAATGATTTATTTTATTTTATTTTTTCTGTTTCATTTCGGACCTAAACAAGGTTATGTTTTTGAATGGGCAGTTTGGAAGGGGGCGTGGACTTGTTACTCTACAATGTACCGATGCTGTTATTGAAGATTTAAATACAGTTTGTCTGTCATTTCTTGTTGAAAAGTGCACAAAGAAAGTTGTATCGAATGCCTTCTCGACTCCGTGACTACAGGGGTTGGTTTTGCCTGCTCTGATAGAAAAGAGAGGATCCCTGAGTCTGACTGGGACCTAAAGAGGAGGATAGAACAGAACAAAGCCTCAGTGGCAGTTCCAGCGGTGGTCATGAGCGATCCGGTTACAGACACAGTATCTGGGGCCACTGCAGAAGCCCACCCACATCTGCGTCATTTATAACACACTGGGAAATGATACCAGCCACACACAAAAAACATTGCGATTGTATTTTTGTATATTTGTTATGATGCAAGAGCGTAATTTTTTGCTTGAATGATGTGTATCCACTCCACAAATACAGAGGATCAGTTGTTTATCGGGGACAGTCCCAGTGTGGAGCCTCAAATCCCAGTTTACATACAGTATATATACAGTATTTACAGTATGTTACATCCAAAACCATAGATCCGTCCTGGTTTTTCAAAAGACAGGTTCCAGTTGTCCCTGTTTTGACCAGAACCGTGGTTAATAACGATCAGAGCGTCTCATGTGTCTCAGTTTGATATCGATAAACGACACAAGGACAGAAAACAACAACAGACGAATCTGAAAATAGATCAAATTGAAGGAAAAGTGCCACAAAAAGCCCAGAGTCTGTGAGTTCTACAAACGGAGCCATTAGTTCTACTGTAAGCACGGACCCGCTCTTCAGAAGTGATCAAGTATTCATGATTTTACATATGAATTATTTACTGCTCTGCCTCATGAACTATTTTTATCCACCGGACAGTTCTCCTCTCTCTTCCAGAGCCACCACCGTGAGCCACCGACGTATACGTTTAGTTTTATTGTATTCTCCAGTCACTGCCTGCACTGTCTTTACTCTGGTGATGGTTCAAGTTGCAGAGCTCTGAAAAACTTCTCTCTCAGAGTCACCGGATCAATGCACCAAGGACAAACTACAGCTGCAGCTTTTTTTTCACAAATGATGAACAAGGTAGATCTGAGTTTTGAACGTTACTGTATCCCACAAAGATTAACTGTTTCATAGCATATAACGCCGCACTACACACACATATATTTATATAAAGGGCTTTTTTATATATATTTTGTATGCTCCCTGTGTGCTCTACTGTCCTGTCTGTGCACTGCAACATTGACATTTCCCCACTGTGGGACAAAAAAAGGATGTCTTGTCTTATTATATCTTAATTCTCTTATCTGTGTTTTCCTCTGAGATAATACTGCTGTGATTTAGGGCCATTCAATAATAAATTGAGTTGAATTGAATAGATATAACTACACTTCAACATGTTCCTTTCATAGATCCCAACGACAGTCTAAGGTACCCCAAAATAAAGAGGAAGAGGTACAATTCACAAAGGTACCCCCTCACAGTGGCCCGCGCTGAGGCAGGTGCGGGTTGCGTGCAGAGAGCCGCCCTTTACGCACGGCCCGGATGTCCCAGCAGCACCTGCGGCACGTGCTGCAGGTTGTCTGAGTTGGGGTGGGTAATCTGGAGCTGGGGGGAGGACGAGCGACTTAAGGAGAGGGAGAGAGAGGGGGAGAGAGGAAGAGAGGCGTCCAAAGGTGTTCACGGGCCTGCGGGGATTTACGTGGGCCGACAGCTTGAGGAGCACAGATCTATTTGTGGAGAGGATTTAAGTGTTTAGACGCAGCATCAAATCCCAAGAGAAAGAAAGGGAACCTATCAATACTCTGCATTAGGCCACCGGACTTAACACACACCCAGCCTGCGTCTCCATATCCCTCAACTTTTATCTGAGCTCCATCCATTTATGATCGAACCCAAACGGAGCCAGTGCAGTCTCCTCAGGCAGATGACCTCTGCGCACAGGGCAGGCCCGAGCACTGATTCCTGGAGGGAGTGAACCCATTGATGCCCAAGAATCAAAGTTTACCTAATCCTATAAGCAGCAGTGGCTGAAAACAGGAAGGGGCATATCGATATTATAGATGGATGAGCACAAGCCCCCCCCCCCCCCATCTTTCCACCTGAGATACTTTTGATTTCCATTGTCATCATGGCTGGACTTTCATACGGGCAAGACTAAACTGATCATACTCATGTAAGGCAGCGAGGAGATCACAAAATATTTAATAGTTTATTCTCTGCAAAAACGATTTGCCCTTTCCTCCCCTCGCATGGTTTACCAGAATAGACAAGGACCAACCAAGAGGCTTTAAGGATGTTAACTCTACGCTCTGCGCAAGTCCCAGAGCTGCTAATGTTGAGACTGAAACAAGTGAATACATACCCATATAGTTTGCCGAGAGCCTTGGCAGTGACCGCCTTTAATCTGTCCTGTCGGAACTCCATCTCTGCGGCTCCAGGAGACCACCACAGTCCCGGTCCTCGCCTCGGCCGGGGAGAGCGCCGTGCTTTTCACTCTAACTTCAGCAGGTTGGAAAATTGATAAAATTGAATTCTCAAAAGTATCTAAATGAACCGAAGCCTACAGACATGGTCGGAAGTCCACTTTGTCCCACTCCAGACTTCACAAAGATAAAGTTCCCAACTTTGGACAGGATACATGGCCGAGCGCTGCCTCTGGCCGTGGTCCTGAACCAGATTACTGCAGAGCGCGCTAATCTCCGAGTGTGTGAGTGAGTGGAAGGTGCATGTCACTTCCTGTCCGCTCTACTCCCAGCAGCGGCTATTATTGGCACAGCCGGGCTCAGACTGGGAAATAAGAGTAAACTATGGGATATAGGCAGTGTTTCAAGTAATCCCCTGCGTCACGGAGAACATGGACCTCTGTCTCAAATGAAGGACTTTCTGTTGTTCACCACACAGATGAAGAAATCCTTTACTTTTACTATCCCTACACTAACCCTGTCTGAATAAGAAAAGTATTGTTTATAGGATGCAAGAACATCGGAACAACATGTGAATTGTGACAGCATAAAAACGGGACAAAATGACTTTATTTGATGTTTAATGAACAGATAATCACATTGATCACAGTCACAGACTCATGCTGGACATTATTAAATATTCTATGTTTACGGTTTTTCCTGTATACAGAAGTGAATATGAAATCATTGTTTTGATTTTGCCTATCAACTAACGTGATAACTAGCTGCTCAGTGCTCTGAAACCAAAACCAAACATTGTGTTGTGGTGATGACGCTGTGAGAGTAGACTTCAGCTGCAGCCCCTCTGCAGGTCCCGGGCTGAGATGGTCCTGAGGGAGTGAGAGGAGACAAAAGGCGGAGGGAAGGGCAGGGCGCGGGGCGGGGGTGGGGGCGACAGGCTGGGGGGCACTGAGATGATGGACGCAGACGCAGACAGAGAGCCGTATCCGCACTTACGAACATCTGAAGCACTGGAGAAGGTGGAGCCATGGAAGAAGACCGGGGGAGGATCATACAGGCCTGACGGGAAATCTGGACACATCAAATGTTTATCACCACATGAACCAACATCACTAACGAACAGCCAATTAAGTGCTAATTAGTGCATAATATATGGTTAATTAGCTTTTAAATAGAATTTTTGGGGCAGTTTGACCTCGAGAGACAGTTACCGGCTCCACAGATCAGGAAATGTGTCTCTGTGACGGGGAGAAGTGTGGACTCTGAGGGAGCTGTGCTGGAGAGAAGGATGAGGGCTGTAGTGCAGGGCATGCTGGGTAACTCCAGACACCCTCTGCATGACACTATGGCCGCTCAGAGGAGTAACCGTAGCAACAGGCTCCTATCACTGCGCTGCCGGACGGAACGTTTTAAGAGATCGTTTGTTCCTTCAGCTGTCAGACTGTACAACAAACCTAAATGAGTTGAAAATATGCACTATTGTTTGTTAGTTAGTTAGAAATGTTCATAATGATGTACATGTCCACCGAGGATCAATAAAGTATGTATTTATCTATTTATTAAGCATTTTTCAGTCTTTGTTCTACATGATCTTATTCAACATCTAACTAACAGACAGACAGTTCCCATGTGGGTTATGTTAGGGCTTGGGCGTGGGCTAGGGTTGTAGACTAGCACTAACGTAGCTGTTGATGAGTGAGGGCTAATCTAAAGTGTTACATCCATTTAAGATCAGAAGAAATCCTCAGGGAAGGCATGAGTCATTGGGGAAGGGTCAGATGGAAAAGGTAAAGGGGCCAAAATATAAAAATTTAAAGTATAGTATTTAACATTCATACATTTTAAAGCTATTACCCAACTTTCAATATTTGTCGCTTTTTTAAATATGTTTTTTTTTTTTACTGCAAAGGGCACATAAACTGATTCAGAACTGAAACCACAAAAAATAAGTATGTCATAAAAACCATGTCACTAGTTCCTGGCTCTATGAGAGTTTTAGCATGTTTGTCTTTTCTTCTCTTGATCCGCGTTTTCAGAGAGAAAAGTGAAAAAGAGAGAACCGGACTCACTCAGCAAAACTGATCTCAGCCCAAAGAGTAAAATAACGACTCTCGGGGCTCGTAGGCAGAAGACAACAGTATGTGACGGTCTGATTTATTCACAACTTTTTTACTTTAGCAAGACTCGTTCTGCTGGGACAAAGTATACATAATTTATCTCAGCCATTCTATCGGCATTCTTTGAGTGTGTGTCTCACAAATAACTGGGATTTGATTTGAAAACTCTTTCTGAGACCGTTGTCCATAAATGTTGATAAAGTCCATGAATGTGGTTGAATGCGGAGGTTCCTGGACCGTCACGTCTGGCTCTGCTTCAGTTATCAATGAACCGTCTGCTCTGTGGTGATATGGACACGTCAGCGTCTGTGCTTTGATCAGCTGACCTCTCTGGTTTCATTACTGTGTGTATGTAAAAACACTTAGAGGAGTAAGCAGGGTCTGAAGCAGGTCTAAAGCAGGTCTAAAGCAGGTCTAAAGCAGGTCTAAAGCAGGTCTAAAGCAGGTCTAAAGCAGGACTAAAGCAGGTCTAAAGCAGGTCTAAAGCAGGACTAAAGCAGGTCTAAAGCAGGACTAAAGCAGGGTCTAAAGCAGGTCTAAAGCAGGTCTAAAGCAGGTCTAAAGCAGGTCTAAATCAAGGTCTTAAAGCAGGTCTAAAGCAGGGTCTAAAGCAGGACTAAAGCAGGGTCTAAAGCAGGTCTAAAGCAGGTCTAAAGCAGGTCTAAAGCAGGTCTAAACCAGGTCTGAAGCAGGGTCTAAAGCAGGTCTAAAGCAGGGTCTAAAGCAGGTCTAAAGCAGGACTAAAGCAGGTCTAAGCAGGACTAAAGCAGGTCTAAGCAGGTCTAAAGCAGGTCTAAAGCAGGACTAAAGCAGATCTAAATCAAGGTCTAAAGCAGGTCTAAAGCAGGGTCAAAAGCAGGTCTAAAGCAGGTCTAATGCAGGTCTAAAGCAGGACTAAAGCAGATCTAAATCAAGGTCTAAAGCAGGTCTAAGGCAGGGTCAAAAGCAGGTCTAAAGCAGGTCTAATGCAGGTCTAAAGCAGGGTCTAAAGCAGGGTCTTAACCAGGTCTAAAGCGGTCTCTAAAGCAGGACGCAAGCAGGTCTAAAGCAGGTCTAAAGCAGGTCTAAAGCAGGTCTAAAGCAGGTCTAAAGCCGGTCTAAAGCAGGGTCTAAAGCACGTCTAAAGCAGGTCTAAAGCAGGTCTAAAGCAGGACTAAAGCAGGACTAAAGCAGGTCTAATGCAGGTCTAAAGCAGGTCTAAAGCAGGGTCTAAAGCAGGTCTAAAGAAGATCTAAAGCAGGTCTATAGCAGGTCCAAAGCAGATCTAAAGCAGGTCTAAAGCAGGTCTAAAGCAGGTCTAAAGCAGGTCTAAAGCAGGTCTAAAGCAGGTCTAAAGCAGGTCTAATGCAGGGTCTAAAGCAGGGTCTTAATCAGGTCTAAAGCCGTCTCTAAAGCAGGACGCAAGCAGGTCTAAAGCAGATCTAAAGCAGGGTCTAAAGCAGATCTAAAGCAGGTCTAAAGCAGGGTCTAAAGCAGGTCTAAAGCAGGACTAAAGCAGGACTAAAGCAGGGTCTAAAGCAGGTCTAAAGCAGGTCTAAAGCAGGTCTAAAGCAGGTCTAAAGCAGGTCTAAAGCAGGTCTAAAGCAGGGTCTAAAGCAGGTCTAAAGCAGGTCTAAAGCAGGTCTATAGCAGGTCCAAAGCAGATCTAAAGCAGGTCTAAAGCAGGTCTAAAGCAGGTCTAAAGCAGGTCTAAAGCAGGTCTAAAGCAGGTCTAAAGCAGGTCTAATGCAGGGTCTAAAGCAGGGTCTTAATCAGGTCTAAAGCCGTCTCTAAAGCAGGACGCAAGCAGGTCTAAAGCAGATCTAAAGCAGGGTCTAAAGCAGATCTAAAGCAGGTCTAAAGCAGGGTCTAAAGCAGGTCTAAAGCAGGACTAAAGCAGGACTAAAGCAGGGTCTAAAGCAGGTCCAAAGCAGGTCTAAAGCAGGTCTAAAGCAGGTCTAAAGCAGGTCTAAAGCAGGTCTAAAGCAGGTCTAAAGCAGGGTCTAAAGCAGGTCTAAAGCAGGTCTAAAGCAGGTCTAAAGCAGGTCTAAAGCAGGTCTAAAGCAGGGTCTAAAGCAGGTCTAAAGCAGGTCTAAAGCAGGTCTAAAGCAGGTCTAGGGCAGGTCTAAAGCAGGTCTAAAGCAGGTCTAAAGCAGGTCTAGGGCAGGTCTAAAGCAGGTCTAAAGCACGTCTAAAGCACGTCTAAAGCACATCTAAAGCAGGTCTAAAGCAGGACTAAAGCAGGGTCTAAAGCAGGTCCAAAGCAGGTCTAAAGCAGGTCTAAAGCAGGTCTAAAGCAGGTCTAAAGCAGGTCTAAAGCAGGTCTAAAGCAGGGTCTAAAGCAGGTCTAAAGCAGGTCTAAAGCAGGTCTAAAGCACGTCTAAAGCAGGTCTAAAGCAGGTCTAAAGCAGGTCTAAAGCAGGTCTAAAGCAGGTCTAAAGCAGGTCTAAAGCAGGGTCTAAAGCAGGTCTAGAGCAGGTCTAAAGCAGGTCTAAAGCAGGGTCTAAAGCAGGTCTAAAGCAGGTCCAAAGCAGGGTCTAAAGCAGGGTCTAAGCAGGTCTATAAAGCAGGTCTTAAGCAGGTCTAAAGCAGGTCTAAAGCAGGCTCTGTACCTTGGTCGTTCAGCTGTGTGTGCTGGTACTGCTGCTTGGTGTAGAACTGGTTGTAGATGCAGTAAACAACAACCATCAGGACAAAGATCCCGATGGAGGCTGCGATGAAGACGACCACTTTGGTGACGTCATGGTTCGACTGCTCCTCTACAAGACAAAAGTGATTACTCAACTTAAATAATAATTCTTTACACATTTCTCACATTTTCTGTTACGTCTATGATTTATACATGTATTTTATTTTTTATTAAATTATCTTTCCACCAGAGATTATCAAGCGCTAGTTACCATAGCAACCCACTATAATGACCAGTTTTAGCACACGGTAAATAAACAAAAAACATATCAATTACTTTCTTTTAATGATTCTGGTGAAAAACGTATCAATGTTTGAGGGAATTTTGCAGAGTTCCATTGGTTTGAATGGGAGCAGTCAAAACGACGGCTCAGGGAGTTCTAGTCCCTAGTGTTAAAGCTGGGGTACCTAACTTTCCCCTATAAATAATACGTGTTGTTTGTTCCAATTACCAGATAACAAAAATGGATAGTAAAATTCGGTATAAAAACAATCTTTTGCAAACTTGAGTCATTATTTGAAGCTTTAGGGCGGGAGCTGATTGGCTGATAAAGGGTGGTCCGCTCTTTTCACTTCTGTCTGAAAAAATAAATGTATAGACTGTTTTTTTTAACCCTTTCATGCATGAATTATGATAGGCTTCTTCCAGATTTTTCCCCAAAGTGTTTTAATAACTCTTGAGCCATGAAAATATGGAAAATATTTTAGTTTTGAAAAAACATGAATTCTCCATGGAGTTGACATGGCCACTAGAGTTGACAACGTGCATTTGAGTCACAGAATAATCATACTGTAAACACCATAGATATCTCCTTTCAGATACGCTCTCTTTATTCAAGGCTAGGTTTAAAACAGTCCTCTTTAGTTTAGTATATGGCTAGGAAGGTAAGACTCAGGGAAGGCTAAACTCCTCAGAGTGTCAGTCAAGCTGCATAGGGAGCCCCCTGCTGGAGAAGTATGGTAACTTGAGCACTATCCTCTCCTCCTTCCTACTTTATCTGTTTAGCACTTTTAGGATTCTGACTGTAGTTTGTTCATTGCTATTCACCCGTTGTCCCATTGTCTGTTTCATGGTACGATGACGGGATCTCTGAGCCTGGCCTCCTCCATCTACACCTGCGGACTGCCCCGCCCGACCCGCCTGGGAGTGCTTCAGTCCTGCACCGGACCTGTCCACGTTCAGCGGCCACTGGTCCACGTCCTGTAGCTAGCTTAGGTCCTGGATTATTAGCCTGTCCGTCCGGAGGAGCGGATCCCTTTCTCAAATGGGTCTCCCTCCCTGTGGGTTTCCCTAGTTCTCCCCAAGGTTTCTCACTTTTTCCCACTGGGTTTTTTAAGAGTTGTTCCTTGTCTATGCAGGAGGGTCTTGTTGGACAGTTAGTGTCCAACAGAAAGGATTGGTGATGATCAGGACACTTTAGCATTCTACAACATGTATGGACATTTTCTTCTGTGTGTGCTTTATATTCTCCATGTGTTAACTGTTGATTCTCTGACCTGTGTTGGTGATTTCAATGGTTTTGTTAAGTTCTCTGAGATGACTTCTGTTGTGACCTAGGGCTATACAAGAATAAATTGTATTGTATTGTAAATTGCATAGGACATTATGATTTTATCTTTGTATTTTTCTTGTTTTAACACATCTCAAACTGTAATATGTGTTGTCTGAAACATTAACCAAAGAAAAACACATTTGTTGCACTGACTAAATGACTGAAATACTATATTGAACTTGGCTGGTACTAATCAGCATAGAACTAACCCAAGACTTTCACATCTGCATAGGATTGTACATCTGAGGTATTTGAGTATGACACGACCAAATGAATCTAGAAACTTCATCAGTTCACCCAAGTGTAATGCCCAGTTGTTATTTTCCATTTTGCAAAGCACAGAGGTCTGAGTTGACCATTATATCATCAATCAGCTCATTCTGAATTTGATGAATAAAGAAATCTATTGGGGCTCCTCTCTCAAACTTCACCTCCCACTCTCCTAAAAAGTCAAGAGTAACAATTTACTCTTTACCCTCAAACTTATAATCTTTGGCTTTGCAGACATGTCTATATTTTTGTGTTTTTGAGCTTGGTCAAGTCAGACAGCACCATCTCCTTCAGCCTCTTCATTCACCTCAAATTCCTCCACATCTTCTCCTTCTACATCTTACTGCACTGTCACAGCTGTTATTTACTAACCGCCTCGTGTCTGGTAACTTTCTTTATCATTCCCACTAACATCGCCCTCACTTGAGTCAGATGGTAGTTCCTGGACTGTCCTCTAGGCTTCTCTATTCTGCTCTGCCCCTGACCGCTACAAAACACATGGAAAAAGAAATTATCATGATTTGCCAAATATTCACAAGATATAATATTTATATCAAATAATGTAATTTATTTGCAGCCAAAATTGTGTTGAAAATTCCAGAAACACTTCCAGAAACACTAAAATTGCTGCAACACTATGCATTGTATTCAAATATAGCCAGTGATGCACACCGTCCACTTCACTGGACACATGATTCAGTGCAATTTCTTCAAAACAGAAACTCAATACTTGGGTTTTTCAACAATTATACGGCTCCTTAGATGTTACTTGACGTCCACATATTTTTTTTACCTGCTAAACCTTCCTAGAATATAATGTATGAACAGATTATCCTTTTGTCGGCCATCTTTATTTTTTTTTTTTTACATTTGTATGTTCACCAGGAGGTAGCAGTGCATATGGCCAGACACACCAGGGTCCACTATAGTGACTAAAGTGCAACTGTGACTTTAAAACTCACACATATGGAAGAGAACAACCATTGAATAGTTGTCCACTGTAGTGACCACTGTGCATGAAAGGGTTAAAGTGAAAAACTAAAGTTACTGGATTGAATAAGCATTTACATTTTGTGTTATTTGAAACTTAGGTACAGCAGCTTTAATATCTATTAGAGCATTTTGTATTTAAGTGCGTCTCACCGCTGGGGTTTTCATTGTGGCTGACCAGGGTCCGGGGCGGAGGTGGGGGTGGGGGTGCAGCCTGTGCCTCATGATGGGGGACCTGCTGACCCCCTGCCTGCAGAGTGCCCAGAGGAAACAGCAGCAGCAGCAGGGCACAGAGAGAGGGTGCTCCTGCCATAGTCTCCTGCAAAACAGAAGAGAAACAAAACTGCTATACACACAAAACAATAGAACTCAACAGTTACAAGCAAGAAAATCACATTATTTATCTCTGATTGTTGGTTTGACTTACCCTGAAGTGTAATGTGGTTCTCTTGAGCTGTGTGTTGTGGGTTTGTCTCATATGAAAAGTGCAGCCAGGACAACGGCAGTCTCCAGGCTCCATGTATTTCCCATCGGACACATTATCATCACATACAAGCAGCAGGTGGGGTCTCAGAAAGTAAACAATAAAAGGGTTATATATCATGTCTAACTATGCAAAGGTAAGTGTTATTTTTAATTTAAAATAAGAGAATACTTTTTAATTTCAATAAATGCAAAATTAAAGTAAAGAGTGGATTAGTATGAAGGAGGCCAACACAGAGCCCTCTGCTGGCGACTTCAGGGATCTCTCTTTTGTACTGTGCATATAACCCATGGATCTATTATGATATAACCTGTTCAGGCCCTTTTGCTTCACTGATAAAAAAATAAAATAAAAATACAACAGGTTTTACCATTTGATCTTAATGGAATTTTGTCAACCACCATTACATTGATAAGATTATTAAGATAGGGCAGTAATGTGTTCTAGAGTACAATTATTTACTGTGTTTCTGTGTTAAATAGATTTTTATATTGTTTCATGTAATTGATACAAGTCAGAATCATTCATTGGAATCAGCTCATCCGAAGTCTCAAATTCAGACCACCTGAAGAGATGGCAACAAAATAACTTGGCACACACACACAGACCCACACAGAAACACATACACAGAGACACACACATAAAATATCCGTGTTCCCCAAAGTTCAGGATTCCATGGTTTATGTTCACACACTTTCATCATTGAATGTGTAAAATGACCCAACAACAGATTTAGTCAGAAATGTTTTTCATGCTTAAAACTAAATTTATTTAAAAGTACATAAATACTTAAAAATACATTATTTTACCAGTTTGAATCTACAAAAGGGCTGTGGTCCCGATCATGACATGTTCTTAACAACTATACAAACGGAATGTAACGGAATCGAAGAGTCGTCACTGGAAAAACACAGGAATAAACCAGAAGGCACTTGAATACTTCTAAAGATACACGTACAAACCAGTGGGGTCCATATTTACAGTCTATGGTACAAACAGACAAAGCTCAAACATATTCAAGAATTCCAGTAGGCCCTAAAAACATTTTCTTGGGTAATAACTCATTTAAATTATTTTTCATTTAGAGTTTTTAAATTAGATTAAATTAATGTACTCATTTACCCATGTCAACGCCCCTCTATTTACATGTTATTTACATTATTGACATCATATTACATCAGCAAAAGCAAAACGTGAGATGTTTCAAGGCTTGAGAGACAAAGCTGTGGTTCAGACAATAACATTAATACTGCACTTTACTCTTCACAGTGGGTAGAGAAGTTAAAGCTCAGGTCTGTGGGTTGTTCTCAGACCTCAGGAGGAGCGGTCTACAATCTCACCTGTCTTTGTTACTAACATCATGGACCTGTGGATGTTAGAATCTGTCATAAGTACAATTGTCTCACTGCAGGAGACAGAGACTCTTGGCGTTGACTCCAGCTTCATGAGGAAAAACATTACGGTTTAAGGTTGTTGAAGATGACTATACAATCTGCTCATTCAGACCGAGCACTGGATCAGTCGCTTTCTCTCCAGACTCCGAAATGTAAATCATTCCAGATAGTTCTGTTTGTAACAAAGTAAAGAAATAATAATTAAAGAGGTAAATGAGGAGGAGTGATCAGGTAAAGGCATAAACTGCTGTGACTGTGATCAACAGTTTCCCCCCAAGGTTTTGTGCGTTTGGCGTAACACTGTGATCACTGAGATTCAGGAGAAGGCGGCTGCGGCTGCGTTCCTCTGCTCCAGTTCTGACATGTCTGTGAGCGGAGTCTCACACTTGTCGTCTGTACTGACCATGCTGTACGCCACAGTCTCATCTCTGGACGAGCGCCTCATCCTGTCCTGCAGCACGGAGTGGATGAAGCACAGCGGGACGGGCATCATGGCAAAGATGATCAACAAAGCCAGGACGGCCAAGGCCCAGTCCGGATAGTCCAGGTACTCCTCTGAGGCCTGGGAACAACGTCTGTGAGTGCCAGCTTTAAACACATGCTCACACTAACGACTGATATAATTCTGTTTCTTACTGTCTCATGGTTCCAGGCCAAGTATGTGGGTCTTTTAAGGCACATGCGTATCGTTGTGGCGAGGAGCAGACCCAACATCGAAAACAGACAAATGTATTTCCACAAGTATTTGTAGATGACAGGGGGCCTCCAGCCGAGCATCCCCTCACAGTCGTCCAGAAACCTGCAGAGCTCCAGCGTTAGATTTGACACAAGCGTTATGGTTCTGTTATCATTGAACTCACCTATCGGCTCCGTACAGCCACGACACGCTGAATGTCTCAAAGGCCACGACGATGATGAGCGGCAGAGTGGCAGAGTAGTCGTCAAACATAGTGACAAAGTAGTTTCCACAGCGCTGAGTGAAGAGGAGGCCGATCAGAAAACCAATGACGCAGATGAACACTGCAACAACATCACGTCAGTCTTTACAACATACTCTGTAAACGCTACATTAAGCCGAGGGTCCTACCGGTCAGTTTGGTTTTGTTATTGGCCAAAGTCTTAAAGCGGTCAGTGAGAGGAGCCAGAATGCCCTCCATGGTACCAAACATGGTGCTGAGTCCCAGGTTGAGCAGCATGAGGAAGAACAGGGCGGACCAGAAAGGACTGGCAGGGAGCAGCGTCATGGCCTCAGTGAAGGCAATGAAAGCCAAACCAGTGCCTTCCGCACCCTGAACAGACAATAACAACAGAGTAATGTTACAAATATAAAACCTCAGCACAGCATAAGGTTCTAATTAAGATTACTTTACCTTTTGCATCTCCTTCTCCAAGCTGCACTCAGTTAAATTCTTGGGGTAAAGTTTGCCAAACTGTACAAACCAGGAAGTGTAGTCTTTAGGATCCACAGAACTGGGATCTGACATGTTAAACGTTGGCATGATGTTTATGTCCACTCCCCCGTTGTGAAATCCTTCTGACAACTGTCTCACATTACTGTAAGAACAAACATAACCATAGCAACAGAGAGTGTAGAAGTGTAGATGTGTAATCAGCCAACGCTATACATACTTGGCGATGCATTCCTTGACCTTCTCTTTGGCACGAAAGCCAAGAACCGCAAACACGACTAGAGTGGCGAGGACTGACGTCAGGAAGTTGATGAACGAGACGGTGAAAGCGTCTCTGTGGCAGTTGTTGTTTTTGGGATTATAGGAAGAGTAGGCAATAATGGACCCAAAGCCCAGGCCCAGGGCAAAGAACACCTGAGTGGCAGCCTGTCTCCACACCTGCACGTTGCCCCAAATCTCAAGCTGAAAATGTGAAGATGAAACGTTTAGGAAACCAAAATATGTGTGTGTTGTAACTTGTGAGAGGACATAAATATATTTACAAATAAACGTGTACCTTTGGATAGAACATGTGGGAGATCCCCTCCATGGCTCCGTCTAACATGAGTCCACGCACGAGGAAACAGAACAGCACCACGTACGGAAAGATGGAGGAGAAGTACATCACCTGCACGGACAAGGAAGCATTCGGACTGAGCACGACTGAAAATACAGCAAGAAGAAAAGTCTGTCCGGCTGTGCACTAGTCCTGCCGCTCTGGGGGAACACACTTTGCCCGCCCCAATAGAAAGTAGCTTCAAAACTTGTTATGTTATCTTTTGCCAACTTGTAAGAAAGAGCCCTGTGAGTCACTACTGGACTCTTTTTCCCGTTTCTGTTTGAAAAAGCTGATGTCAAGATGTGACAGAGGCCAAACAATACATTCATGTGGAGACTAACAATGAGCTAGTTATCTGGATTTTATTACATAGTTACATTGTTTTTGGTTCAAGGATGAGCAGGAGGTGTGTGTGAAGAGGGAAAGCAGGGTGTCTCTTCTGTTTGAAAGCTGCCCCCGCGACCCGGCAACAGATAAAGCGGAAGAAAATGGATTTTTTTTTGTGTTTTGAAAGTTCAGTACCCCAGCTTCCTCCTTTATATGGTTTCTATTGACAAACCTTTTTACAAACACGAAATTGCTTTAAGAATATTGTTCATCTGAAGCAATTAAAAGTAAACACAAAGTTGACTAATCCTCACATTCCAACGCCTCCTAACCCACCCCCAGCCCCACCCCCACCCCCACCCCCACCCCCACCCCCCAGCAGAGCGAGTGAGGTGGAAGTGCAGCGGTCAGAAAACAGTGCAGAAAGGTCAGACTGGATTAGCACCTTGACAGAGCTTTTGATTCCCCGGAACATTCCCAGGCAGACGATGGTCCACGCCCCCAGCAGACTGCACACGATGTAGGGGTTGAACGATCCCGTCTCATCGATGGAGTCGGTGATGTCCAGAGCTTTACGGTACCAGAAGTACGACGTGGGGGAGCTCTTCTCGCACTCTTTAAGCCAGCACAGAGAAACATGAGGATTCAAACTCCCTCAGGAGGCGCAGGCAGGACTGGCTGCAGCAGGACTTACCGGTGGCGTTGACCTCAGTTGGACACTGTTCCCAGGGTAAAGGCTGCTGGAATGAGTTGCCGAGGTAGAAGAGGCTCCACGCAAGAATGACATTGTAGTAAAGAGCAACAAAGAAACAGACCTGAGGACAGATCGGACAAGAACAACATTCACACCCAGTTTGTTGCTTTTGTCTGGTTTGCTCAAACGGACAAAGGACAAAGTTGTGACAAAAGATGAACCAATATATGACATTTCAGATCAGATACAGATTCAAGTGTATTTACCATTCGCATTTAAAGCCCACATTGGAATATTTGTGTAGAAATAGCCACAATATGAGAACAATATAGAATTATTAGGCTTTGTCTGCTTTCATTTGGATGATTATGACTTACAGTCCATTTTCAATTTAAACTAGTTTGTGAGCAGATTATTAACATTATAAAAATTGTGTCTGTCATTTATTAGTTTTACCTTAGGTTGAAAAAAAGAAAACAGGAAATGGACAGATTCCAATATGTGTTTCTTACTCACTGCACTACTGAAGCCAAAGAATGATAAACATAAATCATTATGAACCGTCTTACCACACAGCTGGAGTAGCCGATCCCAGCGAGCTTTGGAGAGATGTGCTTCCACACTCCGATGCTCCCCTGTCGGATGGCCTGACCCGCCGCCAGCTCCAGGAAGAACAGGGGAATGCCCACCACCAGCATCAGCAGAATGTACAGCAGGAGGAAGGATCCTGGAGAGAGACAGCTGTGAGTGGGGTTTGAATTCATCTCCAACCATTACCACATTATAATGTAACTGTAAAAAAAAAAAATGTATCTGTTATTTTTTGTTATTAAAATATGTTAATTGTAGACATGGCACTTTGGACTGTGAAAAACTTTTCTTTCTTTCTTTCAATAGTTGTCCATATTTCTTACAGCAAAGTTACATGCATCCTCATTTCTCAACCATAAGACAGAAAATGATCCAGCTAAATTTCCTACTGACATAAACATTCATTCAATCTTGCTTACATGCTGAGAAGAGTCCCCACTCGACCTGTAAATAGTGCTCATGCTTCACGCTGTTGAAGCCACACAAAAAGGGGTATCCGATTACTCCCCACACAGAGGGGCAAACTAGAATAGCCTCACTCACCTCCTCCGTTCTGGTGGCACAGATATGGAAAGCGCCAAACGTTTCCGAGTCCCACACTGAAGCCAACTTGGGCTAAAAAGTATTCTATTTTGCTGTTCCACCCCGCCCGGGCCACGGGTTCTGGGTCCTGCAGAGTGTCTTGAGGCACATGGGGTCCACTCTCGGTCTGGTCATCATCTGCGGGCAAAGGCTTCTTCTCCATTTCTGAAAGAAGAGAAGGATGGCTCTTAAAGCTGGGGTACTCAAATTTCAAACCACAAAAAATGATCTATGCAATAAAAGTAGTTCCTGGCTCTGACATGGTTTGTATGTATAATGTATGTGTGCATTGTTGGCCTCTGTCACACAACTTTTAAGCTTTTTCAGACAGAAAAGTGAAACAATCAGGACCACCCTCAATCCGCTTTGGTCTAAAAAGTCAAAGAGCGATTCCCTCTTTGACCTATGCAAACTACAACATGTTTAATGTGGTGTGATATGTATTCATGAAACAGAAAGTCAAGCACACTCACTTAACAAATATAATGTAACAGTATGGCCTACAGCAGTGGGTCAAGGCACACAAGTGTACACTGTAATGTTGCTTGTTGTGCTTTTGGAAACGACCCAAGATCATCACATTGGTCAAAGTATTGTTAGAAGATTAGAAACTAGTTTGTGCTTGTGTGGATTTGTCTTAAGAAACCACATGGTTAACATTGCAGCAGAGTTTCCTCTTTGTGTCTGTTTCAGCTGGTGTAAAACAGGTTGAAGAACACTGGCCTACTGTACCCACAATAAGCGTTTAGTACACCGCAGTTTACATGTTATAACACGTGTGGATCATGCGTAATGGGGATCCTTCCCACCAGATGATTGAACACATACAAACCTATACTCAGGAATAATCATTAGATAGATTGTGATCTCTGGCTGGTATCATTGTAATCATACCATTCATTTGTTTCTAGGCATCAAAAACAGTGCAGACTACGGGTCCAGAGCTTTTGTCTTCTACGCGCACGTACGTACTCTAATCCTGAACACAAAAGTTAAACTAACCTTATTCACAGAAGACGCCGTAAAATGTTTTAATGGAGGAAATGCCTTTAAGAACAAATAATTAGCTTTAAACGAGGATCCCGGTGATGTGTCAAGCCCTTCAGGAACACGTGTAGCAGTCCCTCTTTACTACTACTACCATATTATTATAGATCCATGTTTTTTACGCGCTGAGGTAGAGATTCTTCCGGGTCTGTACGAATGTGAGCTGTTATTTAAAAGCAAAAATGCCAATGAAGGACAGAATGTGATGTAGCGATATCAATTTGGAGCAGAGCAGCGCGCGCCCACTACGTTTACTCTTTATTTGGGCTCTTCCGCCTGACGAAACACGCCACGCCTTCTCTAAGGTGCGTTCAGGGACATCCAGGCACGCGCTACTATTTGTGTAAAAATGAAGTAATAATAAAAACAACTCAGCTTTTCTGAGTTTAGTCACTGCTGTTTGAGTAATAGTAACACATAAGCAACGAGTCATTCTAGTGGTGGAGGAGTATTGCTGTAAACTATTTAAGGTTACGTTTTACATATAATATTTACTACGTCACACAAACGCAGCATCATAATAGAAGATCCTCCAAGGTTTTCCCATGGGTTTATCACATAGACTGTTTATCACCATGATTTATCAGTGTCACGAATTTCCGCATTTATTCTTTTGAGGTGAGTGTGAAAGTGACTGTGTCCGATGTTATATTCGTTATAATTCCAAGCTGTGTATTCTGTAGACATGTTGTTATTGTAAAACCTAACACGTGGCCAAAGTATGCTTCCCTTTAAAACGTAAAATTAACATAATTTAGTCAACATCGCATAGTCATAGTCTGTTCATGTTAAAAATGGCAAGGTGTGAGTAATGATGAAGTGTTAAACAGACACACAGTAAATAGAGCCACGCACAGCGCATGGTGACGTGCACACGCGCCGTGCCACGTCGAAAACCTTTACCAAAACTTCACAAGCAACTATCAAAGTGAAAGTGGCATTCGAATATCACATGCAACAGGTGTGACGTTAGACAGTTACAGGACATTCATGAAACATACCTGAATTTTGCAGAAAAGAAGAAGTGGAAAAGTTGTCTGAGTCAAATCCAAGTCAAGTGTTGGCGCAGGACAGACCCGTGGAGTCCTCCCCCCGCTCCCTCTCATCCAATCACACGTGTTGGATATCCACATGTCTCTTCTCAACATATTCTGAACCCAATATGAACAATATGATCTACTTTATTAATCCATGGACCCACCTCTAGTTTTAATATCAATGACCAATCCGTTAGAAAGAAACACAACTTTAACTTTAGGGACAGAACAGACATTTGACACTGAGGTGACGAGGGGCGCTCTGTGTGGACTATAACAGCCCCTGAGTGACTTTTAACCCAGAGAACTCTATAGGGTCACAATGTTGTCTGCACACAGGATTTCGGATGAGCTGTCGACTGATATTCTTCTGTTTCCATTTCAGGTGTGACTGAATCCTCACGCCTTCCTGTGGAGCTTCATTGGCAGTGACCCGGTGACGCTTCATCTCTTTGTTGGATGGTATCCACTACTGTGTGACCTTATCCTCCAGAATCACCCATGAAATAAATACATTTAAATGTTTAGTCTTCAAGTTTACATTTGCACCATCTGAACAAAAAACAAAAACTAGATTAGATTAAATTAGCATCAGGTAGAGTCTCTGTAGTGTAGCATCCATAGTGTCACGACTTTGAGTGTATTTCAGATTTATATTTAGATGCATAAATACAAGTATATATTTCTGGCACTATACAATGTGCAGCCGACACGTTTATATTTTATACTTAATACTAATACTTTCTGTACTTTTAGACTAAAGATAGAGATTTGATTTTAAGTTTAGTGTTGTGCTTTACTTGATATTCACTATTTTGTGTCTCCTCATTCCCAATGTTTTTTGAATTGAGATGCAACACTGACATTTCTTCACTGTGGGACGAATGAAGGATCTCTTCATCTTAAATGGCTCAAATAAACATTACTTCAATGGATTTAGTCTTTTTGAACGCCTCAAATGAGTGAAATGTTTGAGAAGCCCTGGTGATAGAGACAGCGTTATGGCACATTCAGACTGGGCTCGTCTCTTTTGTGTCTGTAGAGATTCTTTAAAGATTATTTTGTCATGTGGGGTCGATAAAGGCAAGGTCCCAAAATGCAAAAAATGACAATTCAATGATAAATAAACCAAAGTCCAAGGGAAAAGCCACAAATAGGAACCAAACAGAGATCAAGGACAAGAACCAAAACAGACGTGGAATGACAATGACGGAAGAGGGAGTGAAGGGCGACACTGGGGCAGACGGTCAGACAGGAAGTACAACTAAAGAAGACACAGGGTCAAGATATTACAAAATAAAACAGGAAATCTAAACCATGACATATTTACTCTGATCATTTCTCTGAGAATGACAGAACAAAAAGTCAACTTTATTGGGATCAATACTCTCGAGGAGGTTCACATCCCGCATTATTGATTATGATCTTTCTTCTCTTTCTCTCTTTTAAGAAATACTTTTTATGGGGCTACATTTCCATAAAAGTTTCTACAAAGTTTCAAAGTTCAGTTATTCTTGTTTATGTAATTTATCAAAACTATCTTTAGCAAACGTTAATATCATATCTTTGATCATTATTCTGTGTTAAAATTGACTTGGATTTCAAATACTAAGTTGTTTGCATAATGGATATATCAATTCATAAGCGTTAACAAGCAATAGGATATAACTTCCTGGTATGTGAAATAAAACCTTACTCCAATGATGATAGACATGTTTATAGATGTGTTACTATGTATTTACTGAGGGTGCATTCTCACTTGTTCACAATTCAATTCCACTTGTTTTTGTATGGCCCTAAATCACAGCAGCAGTTATCTCAGAGGACTTCACAAAACCGTTGATTCGCCAACACAGATCAGAGAATCAAACACAAGAAATGCAATGATAAAATACATAGAGCCACTGGTCCATAAGGAGCAGAGACCAATGTCCAATAATGTTGATAAATGTCGATGAATTATAAATGTGGACTGTCCTGCATCATCACCTCTGTCCTTCGACCCTCCTGCATCGGCAAAGAACAACTCTACAAACCCAGTAGAAGAAAACAGAAGTTAGAAATTTAAGTACAATCTGGATTCACCCAGATCCAAGACTTTATTAGAACAACACAAAAACAAGTCTGCAGCACATCAGGACTGTGTTAACGTTGGTATGAACACTTATGTCGCTGTTTGCATGTGTCTGAACGCTGTGTTGTGGTTCTCAGAGGGGAGCAGGGGCCCAGTCTCAGGTGGGACCAGGGGGCGGGGCCTGCGGCAGGACTAACACCAGCGTGAGGAGTGACCTGCACTCAAATCACACACGGCACACAGACAGACACCGGATAACGCTGCTCTATGACCTGCTGGGACCCACACGTGAGTACATACATGTATATATACACTTTTACATGTGAATGAAGAATTATTTTATTATTTATTCATTTACTTTCTCTAAATGATATGTTAAAGTGAAGTCGTGCCTCTACATCCACCGCCCAAGAGCAGCTTGTTCTTGTGTATCTTTTAAAGGGTGTGTTCCCATCCACTATACTGTAGGGCTCTGTATTTACTTTCCCCATTCATTTCAAATTGTAACGCTTTAATCTTCATCAGTTTTATTTACTTTTCTTTAAGTCCACTCAATATTTAGCCGACATGACGCTGCACTAAATACTAAAGAGCAGTCGAGTGAAACCGCTAATAAGGGAGTGCTAGTGATACTCTGCTCTGGCGACTCCCAGTGACAGCTTTGATGTCGTCTGAGGAGCTGAATGGGACGGTGGCAGAACTGGTCGGGCCGCTCTTCCACCGGGCGCTGTTGTCTGAGAATCAGCTGACGGAGGGTTCTGTGATGAGAGGTGTCCTGAACTGTCTGTGTGCTTCTGTCGTTTAGGTTTAGAGACAACATGACTAACATCTCACGCCATCTCGTAAATGTAAGTTGAACCATATGTTCGCATTACTGTAAATATAAGTTGAACCATATGTTTGCATTATTGAGGATGTAAATGTGACTGTATTTGATGTAAACGTAGAGAAAGTCATAAAAATAACTCAGGTTCATAATTTGAAGTCATTTCCTTTTGTGGGTAAAACTGAACAAGCCTTTGATATGTGCTGAAGTAACAGTAACGGACACATAAGTTATGGCTGTGTACCTACATACTGTAAGAGTATTGTCACTAAACTTAGAAGCATGGCTAACCACTTCAATTCCGTGTTGAATTTAGAAGCATGGCTAACCAATTCAAACCTGTGTTGAACTTAGAAGCATGGTTAACCACTTCAAACCTGTGTTGAACTTAGAAGCATGGCTAAGTTGATGCAGTTCAGACCTGTATAATGTGTGTTTAAGACATGTTTCTTAAGGATCACAAAGCTCTGATGCTGAAAGGACATGAGGAGTGTCCACTTCTGACGTCATGTGTGTGTTGTGTGTCTTTGTGTGTGTGTGTTGTGTGTGTAGCACCTCCTCACCTTCTCGCTGCAGGATGGGGATGTGCAGAGTGTGGAGGAGGCTCTAGCTCGACTTTCATTTTTGGCTCAAAACAAAAAGTTATGGAGTCAACAGATGTTTCTTGACGTCACATCAGAATCCATCGTCCTGCGGGACGTCCAGAGCCAGGTGAGGGACACATGGGGGACACACGAGGGACATTTGAGGGACACATGGGGGTCATGGGGGGACACATGAGGGACACTTGGGGGACATGTGGCTGAGCACTCTCGCTTCTCAGCAAGAAGGTCCTGGGTTCTGTGTGGAGTTTATGTCCTCCCTGTGTCTGCGTAAGTTTCCTCCGGGGGCTCCGGTTTCTCCTACCACTAAAAACATGTACAATAGGATGAATGTAATGTGTGAGTAAATAGTAAAAGGCGCTATATAAATAAACATTACTTGCTTACTACTTACACATGAGGGACACGTCAACACTGCAAGTGTTTGTTCAGTCGTCCTCTTGCCGCAGTAAATGCAGCTGCATGTACTGCTGCATGTACTGCTGCATGTACTGCTGCATGTACTGCTGCATGTACCGCTCCATGTACTGCTCCATGTACTGCTGCATGTACTGCTGCATGTACCGCTGCATGTACTGCTGCATGTACTGCTGCATGTACCGCTGCATGTACTGCTGCATGTACTGCTGCATGTACTGCTGCATGTACTGCTGCATGTACTGCTGCATGTACTGCTGCATGTACTGCTGCATGTACTGCTGCATTTACTGCTGCATGTACCGCTGCATGTACTGCTCCATGTACTGCTCCATGTACTGCTGCATGTACTGCTCCATGTACTGCTGCATGTACTGCTGCATATACTGCTCCATGTACCGCTGCATGTACTGCTCCATGTACTGCTGCATGTACTGCTGCATGTACTGCTGCATGTACTGCTGCATGTACTGCTCCATGTACTGCTCCATGTACCGCTGCATGTACTGCTCCATGTACTGCTCCATGTACTGCTCCATGTACTGCTCCATGTACTGCTGCATGTACTGCTGCATCAGGGACGTGCGGTGAGGTTTGTGATTGGGGAGGCACTGACTTTAAAAGTCAGATTTACAATCATTATTCAAATAAAATAGCATTTAATCACCAATGCAATGACATCCACAAACTTTATATACTGTAAAGATAAGAGAATCAATCAATCAATCAACGTTTATTTGTAGAGCGCCTTTCCTACACAAGGCAACGCAAAGCGCTTCACATCCCCTATCACATCATGCATAAATCAAACACATTAAGAGCACAAGATATATTAAAAACATTAAAAATAAAATCACAAAAATTAAAAACCTTTAAACATTAAAATCACAGATGGGACTAAAATCATAAATAGTCACAGTGCATTAAAAAGATTAAAGATAAAAACAAAGATGAAAAGATAAAATCATTCAGTTGTATATGCGCAGCTAAACAGAATTGTTTTGAGCCTAGATTTAAAAGATGCCAGAGTAGACGCCTGTCTCACATTCTCAGGAAGACTGTTCCAGACTCTAGCCGCATGAATCTGAAATGCAGTTTGCCCATGTCTAGTACCGACTCTGGGCACTAACAGGAGTCCAGTCCCTGTGCTCCTCAGAGTCCGGGTCGGTTCATATGGCACAAACATGTCATGGATGTACCTTGGCGCGAGACCATGGAGAGACTTGTACACAAGTAAAGCTGCTTTGAAGTCTATTCTCTGAGGAACAGGAAGCCAGTGCAGAGACCTGAGAACTGGACTAATGTGGTCGTACTTCCTAGTTCTGGTCAGGACTCGAGCTGCTGCATGTTGAATGTACTGCAGCTGTTTTACAGCCTGTTTGGAGAGACCTGTGAACAAGCCATTGCAATAGTCTAACCGACTGGAGACAAAAGCGTGTATAAGAGTCTCCAAGTCTGCCTTAGACACTATGTTTTTAATTTTAGCAATGTTTTTTAGGTGGTAATAAGCTGCTGATGTTACAGATTTTATGTGGCTTTTGAAATTTAAGTCTGAGTCCATTATCACTCCTAGATTTCTGACCTGATTTGAGGGTTGTAGAGAGAGAGCCTGGAGGTGACAAATAACGCTCTCTCTTTGTTTCTGGGGTCCGAAAACAATTATTTCAGTTTTGTCGGTGTTTAGTTGGAGAAAGTTATTTTGCATCCAATCACCGATTTGCTGGACACAGTGAAGGAGCGAGTCCACTGGTTCATGCTCTCCTGCTGTCAGGGACACATAGACCTGAGTATCGTCAGCGTAATTGTGATAAGAGACATTATTACTGTGAATCAACTGACCTAGAGGCAACATGTAAATATTAAACAGAAGAGGACCCAGGATTGACCCCTGTGGCACTCCGCAGGCCAGGGCCAAGTGGTCTGAGGTACAGTTTTCGATCTCCACAAAAAACTTTCTGTCTTGTAAATAGGACCTAAACCAGCTTAGGGCGGTGCCAGCAACACCAACCCAGTCCTCAAGTCTCTGAATGAGGATGCCATGATCAATAGTGTCAAAAGCAGCACTTAAATCTAACAGAAAAAGGACTGAGACTTTTCCTGCGTCAGTGTTTAGTTTGATGTCATTTGTTACCTTTATTAGCGCGGTCTCAGTGCTGTGGTGGGGTCTAAACCCTGACTGGAACATATCATAAGCGTTATTGATTATTAAAAATTCTGTAAGTTGTTTATAGGCAACTTTTTCTAGAATTTTTCCCATGAAAGGCAGATTTGAAATGGGCCGACAATTTTTGAGTGCCAGGGCTTCCAGACTCCTCTTTTTTAGGAGGGGCCTGATGACCGCCGTTTTCAAGGCCATTGGGAATGTTCCAGATTCAAGAGACATATTAACTATTTGTGTAAGTGAAGGTAAAAGACTGCTCAGAACTGACTTGAGAAATCTAGGAGGTAATACATCCAGGCTGCATGTGGAGGAACTCAGACTAGTGATTATCTCCTGGACAGTTTCGATTTGTACTGGTGTAAAGTGCGTCAGCCCAAAAAGCCTCACTGGCGGTTGGATTATTATTTCTATCGTGGAGGTGATGGCGTTTTTGATACCTTGGACTTTGTCATTAAAGAACTGAGCAAACTCATTACATTTAGATTTGGAAGTAAGTTCTGATGGCATCTTAACAGGGGGATTCGTCAATCTATTTACTGTTGAAAACAGAACACGTAGATTGTTGCTACAGCCTTCAATAGTTTCAGAAAAGTACATTTCCCTCGTTCTACGTAGTTCCCTGTTAAAATTGCACAACGCATCTTTGAAGATCTCATGGTCAACTTTGAGATTTGACTTTCGCCACTTCCGCTCGGCCTTCCGGCACTCTCTCTTCTGTGCCCTGACCGAGTCTGCTTTAGTCCATGGCGCTTTTTGCTTGTTTGTAACTATTTTAACCTTTACAGGAGCAATTGTATCCAGAACATTCAAAACAGTGGTGGTGACAGAATCAAGTAATTCATCTACAGTAACACACAACGTGTTCTCAAAGTTTACCCTCCCCATGAACAGTTCGCCTGTATTATCATTTATGTGTCTTCTTCTAACAACCGAAGATTCAGCTGGTGGTTTACAATCAAGACACATGTCAAAAAATACACAGAAATGATCAGACAGAGCAACATTGACCACATTTACATTTGAAATATTAACCCCCTTGGTAATTAACAGATCGAGAGTGTGTCCTCTGCTGTGGGTGGGGCCACTCACATGCTGAGTGAGACCAAAGGTTTCCAGCACAGAGCTCAGCTCTATTGCATATCTATCATTAGCATTATCTACATGTATATTGAAATCACCTACAATGACCAAACCATCAAAATCTGTGCACACAACTGAAAGCAACTCAGTGAAATGATCAGTGAAACTATGGCATGACTGTGGCGGCTTGTACAAACAATAATAAGAATGGAAGAAGATTTCTTTTGTTCTATTTTAAAAGAAACATACTCAAATGATGAAAATTTCCCAAGAGACACTCTATGGGAGACAATACGATCTTTAAAAACTGCTGCTATGCCCCCCCCCCTTTTATTTTCTCGTGTTTCATGTTCAAATTTGAAATTTGGTGGTGAGGCTTCTATTAAAACTGCATCTCCTGTATTATGGTCAAGCCATGTTTCAGTCATAAACATAAAATCAAGATCATACGAACAGATAAAATTATTAATTAAAAATGATTTGTTGCATAGTGATCTGACATTAAGTAGAGCAAGGTTAAAATTAATATCAGTGTCAATGGGTTTAGTTGATTGATTACAAAGAACTGGAATTAGATTTCCAGAGTTGGACCGTCTAACTGCTTTCCTTCTTTTAAATTTGTGTTTTATTCAAGTTAAAACACATTTCTGAGCTGGTGCGAGAAACACACACAGTCTCTATTGGTTTAAAAAGTGAACTCTGTTGTACTTTGTTAAGTTCCAGATGCATAACTGAGTCAGCACAGTTCAGTGGCAGGACTGTCGTTACACTGCCAGACTGACAGGGGTCAGTGTTTGCACCACAGTACTCACCCGGTGCTGGTAAGGAGGAGGAGGAGGGGGGTGGTGGGGGCCGAGAAGCCTCAGATGTAAACAGTCACGCCCCCCTCGGGGAGCACTGAACAACATGGCGTAGGAAGTCCGTCAACAAACTGGTGCCGTATCTGTTCGGGTGCAGACCATCTGGACGATAGGCCACGTGACGCTTCCAGAACAGGCCAAAGTTGTTCACAAAAATAAAGTTAAAAGTGCTGCATGTAGACTGGAGCCACATGTTGAGCGCCACAACGCGACTGTACAAGCAGTCTCCCCGGTTTACAGTCGGGACTGGACCAGAGATAAAAACACACAACCCGAAGGACTGGAGGAGGCGGAATAGATCCATAAAATGCTTCTTTGTGACCTCGGACTGCTGCAGCTTCATGTCGTTGATCCCCACATGCACGATTACCTTTGAAATGGTATCAGGCAGGGACTGAAGCAGAGGAGGGAGACGGATGAGCAGGTCTGGTACAGTGGCTCCGGTAATGCAGTGAGTGACCGCGTTAAAAAAGCGGACGTGCCTCACGATGGAATCTCCAACAATCAAAGTAGTCGGGGCGAAGAGTGGACGCGGCCGCGGAGAGGGCGCTCGGTGTCCATGGCCAGAACCAGCGGGCTCATCCAGGGATGGGTCCGAACCAGGGCGCTGCTGAACACATGGAGAGGAGTGGGGGTGTTGATTCCCAGCTCCGGGCAACCCACGCTGTGTGCACGGAGACGCTGGAGCAGCGAGAGGAGCAGGCTCGGGTCGCTGCTGCTGACCCGGTGAAGGTAAGTGGTGGTGATGCACTGGGGTCAGAGAAGGGGAATGATCACTCTTTCGTCTGAGGACAGCTTCCTTTAAGAGTGTCTTTCTCGCAGTGGACCTGGATCCACGGACAGCAGTAGAGTTTGCTGCAGAGTCCAGGGGTTCTGCTGAGGGGGCTGGGATGTCAGCGGAGAGGGCTGCATAGCGGTTTGAAAGGCTCAGGACATGGGCCACGGCGCTGGATGGCTCCTCGCAGTCCGCAGGCTCTTTATTCCGAACCGGGCACTTAGGTGTAGAACAAGAGGGCCCAGAGCTGACAGATCTCTCCCACACGACAGTGTCACAGTATGCAGCGCTCAGTGACATAAGCCGTGAGTGCTGCCCGCCAGCGACATCAAAAAGTTTGGACACGAGTGACTGTTTATCCTGCAGCTCTGCAGTGAGGCGAAGGACTTCTTTACGGAGGTCTGCAATAGTGGCACGGTCCCTCTCACGAAGCTCCAATGTGAGGCGACTAATGTCGTTCGTGGTCATTGCAGTGTCACTTTCCATGTCTGTGGTGCGCTCGTGGTAGCCTCCGAGCTAGCGCGTTTCGATTGGGTCTTTGTGTTAAAAGACGTGATGCTCTGGAACCATTGATAAAACACTAGAGTGTACAAAAGACACTAATACACCGTAAAAACGTGTTTAAAAGGCTTTAAAAGGCTTAAAAAAGGGTAAAACAGAGCAGAAACGTCAAAACGCGTGCTCCCCCAGCTGAGCTTCTCTTTATCTCTTCTTTAACCAGCTTCTTTTAATAATCTCACAACAAATCTAGCTGCTGACTCTGCTCCGCATCAAACAACATCTTTAAGAAGCGCAGGTGCGAGAGACGCGAGGAGAGAGAGACGCGAGGAGAGAGGAGCAGAGAGAGACAGAGAGGAGCAGAGAGAGACAGAGAGGAGCAGAGAGACGCGAGGAACATAAACAATAATTTAAACAAGTTGCAGAACTCTTGAGCAGTGTTTGAATCAGTGTTTTTCGGAAAAGCACTACTTTGCCGGTATCTGTCAATGTTCAACATAAAACACAGATTAACAAACTCCTCCCCCGCAGCCGGACTAACCTCGTAAGTCCAGTGGTGGTCTCCCAGTCTATATTAATTCTTTCTTTGTTTGAAAGTCCAATTGAGAAAAAAAATCTTCATTCAAATCATCCATTTTCCAGCAAAAGAAATAGCATTTTGGGCTGATTGTTTGTTAGCAACTCTGGTATGAACTTTATGCTCACTATCACCCCTAGCGGTGAGGCACAGATACCGCCTGCCTCACGCCAAGCTTTTTCCTTGTGTGTTCATCTACGATCAAAAGACTTAAACTAAATATAAATTGTACACACATACGTGCAATACACTACTAAACACTAAGAGGAGTTTAAAAAATGTTTTTAAAGCAGGATATTTGAAACAAACGGTGATATATCAACTGCACGAGCTGAGTGCACTCAGACACACACACACACTGTGAGGGAGCGGTCTGGGGTGAGGCACGCAGGAGCGCTGCCTCACCTCGTCTCTTTGAATAGGAATAACGGGATTTCGGCGATTTTGACTTCAGAAATGATCAAAACTGATGGGAACCGTGCCGAATATACATTAAAAGCATAGGACAGTGGATATAAATTATATATTTAAACTAAAATAATTATTAGTTTCCAATAATGGCAGGTGAGGCTCTGCCTCCCCTGCCTCCCCTGACTGCACGTCCCTGTGCTGCATGTACTGCTCCATGTACTGCTGCATGTACTGCTGCATGTACTGCTCCATGTACTGCTCCATGTACTGCTGCATGTACTGCTGCATGTACTGCTCCATGTACTGCTCCATGTACCGCTGCATGTACTGCTGCATGTACTGCTACTTCTGCATGTACCACTGCATGTACTGCTGCATGTACCGCTGCATGTACTGCTCCATGTACTGCTGCATGTACTGCTGCATGTACTACTCCATGTACTGCTCCATGTACCGCTGCATGTACTGCTGCATGTACTGCTACTTCTGCATGTACCACTGCATGTACTGCTGCATGTACTGCTGCATGTACTGCTGCATGTACTGCTGCATGTACTGCTGCATGTACTGCTGCATGTACCGCTCCATGTACTGCTCCATGTACTGCTGCATGTACTGCTGCATGTACCGCTGCATGTACTGCTGCATGTACTGCTGCATGTACTGCTACTTCTGCATGTACCACTGCATGTCCTGCTGCATGTACTGCTGCATGTACCGCTGCATGTACTGCTACTTCTGCATGTACCACTGCATGTCCTGCTGCATGTACTGCTGCATGTACTGCTGCTTCTGCATGTACTGCTGCATGTACTGCTGCATGTACTGCTGCATGTACTGCTGCATGTACTGCTCCATGTACTGCTGCATGTACTGCTGCATGTACTGCTGCATGTACTGCTGCATGTACTGCTCCATGTACTGCTGCATGTACTGCTGCATGTACTGCTCCATGTACTGCTGCATGTACTGCTGCATGTACTGCTGCATGTACTGCTGCATGTACTGCTGCATGTACTGCTGCATGTACTGCTGCATGTACTGCTGCATGTACCGCTGCAGAGTCTGATGTCTTTGTTTTTGTCTTTTTTAAAGTCTATGGATCTTTATGTTCTCAATAAATCATAAAAACAATAATAGAAAAAATATATATATTTTAGACATGGCACATTTTATTTGGTAACAACTTAATAACAACTGTTAACATTTGCCTTATACACATAATATTCTCCTTAAAACATGTTTCTGATGATTGTGTTTCAGGATGAGCTGGAGAAATACACTTTCAAATCCATTCTTCGCTGTGACTCCAAAAGTGAGCGACACTTTCCGTCGCTGCTGCTGCTCGTCTGTCAGAGCTCGGAGCAGAAGAAACCAGACATCCACTTCTTCAGCTGCGACACGATGAAGGTGAGGCCTGCTGCTTCTGCGCTAATACAAGAGTGTGTGTGTGTGTGTTTCTGTGTGTGTGTGTGTATTTGTGTGTGTGTGTGTTTTCTGTGTGTGTGTGTTTATCTGTGTGTGTGCATATGTGTTTATCTCTGTGTGTGTGTGTTTCTGTGTGTGTGTGTGTATATTTGTGTATGTGTGCTTGCCTGTGTGTGTACTTACCTGTGTGTGTGCTTACCTGTGTGTGTACTTACCTGTGTGTGTACTTACCTGTGTGTGTGCTTACCTGTGTGTGTGATTACCTGTGTGTGTACTCACCTGTGTGTGTACTCACCTGTGTGTGTGCTTACCTGTGTGTGTGCTTACCTGTGTGTGTACTTACCTGTGTGTGTACTTACCTGTGTGTGTGCTTACCTGTGTGTACTTGCCTGTGTGTGTACTCACCTGTGTGTGTACTCACCTGTGTGTGTGCTTACCTGTGTGTGTGCTTACCTGTGTGTGTACTTACCTGTGTGTGTACTTACCTGTGTGTGTGCTTACCTGTGTGTACTTACCTGTGTGTGTGCTTACCTGTGTGTGTACTCACCTGTGTGTGTACTCACCTGTGTGTGTGCTTACCTGTGTGTGTGCTTACCTGTGTGTGTACTCACCTGTGTGTGTACTCACCTGTGTGTGTGCTTACCTGTGTGTGTACTTACCTGTGTGTGTGCTTACCTGTGTGTGTGCTTACCTGTGTGTGTACTCACCTGTGTGTGTACTCACCTGTGTGTGTGCTTACCTGTGTGTGTACTCACCTGTGTGTGTACTCACCTGTGTGTGTACTCACCTGTGTGTGTGCTTACCTGTGTGTGTGCTTACCTGTGTGTGTGCTTACCTGTGTGTGTACTTACCTGTGTGTGTACTTACCTGTGTGTGTGCTTACCTGTGTGTGTACTTACCTGTGTGTACTTACTTGTGTGTACTTACCTGTGTGTACTTACCTGTGTGTGTGCTTACCTGTGTGTGTACTTACCTGTGTGTGCTTACCTGTGTGTACTTACCTGTGTGTGTACTTACCTGTGTGTACTTACCTGTGTGTGTACTCACCTGTGTGTGTACTCACCTGTGTGTGTACTTACCTGTGTGTGTGCTTACCTGTGTGTGTACTTACCTGTGTGTGTACTTACCTGTGTGTACTTACCTGTGTGTGTACTTACCTGTGTGTACTTACCTGTGTGTGTACTCACCTGTGTGTGTACTCACTTGTGTGTGTACTTACCTGTGTGTGTGCTTACCTGTGTGTGTACTTACCTGTGTGTACTTACCTGTGTGTGTACTTACCTGTGTGTGTACTTACCTGTGTGTGTACTCACCTGTGTGTGTACTCACCTGTGTGTGTGCTTACCTGTGTGTGTGCTTACCTGTGTGTGTACTTACCTGTGTGCACTTACCTGTGTGTGTACTTACCTGTGTGTGTACTTACCTGTGTGTACTTACCTGTGTGTGTACTCACCTGTGTGTGTACTCACCTGTGTGTGTGCTTACCTGTGTGTGTGCTTACCTGTGTGTGTGCTTACCTGTGTGTGTGCTTACCTGTGTGTGTGCTTACCTGTGTGTGTGCTTACCTGTGTGTGTGCTTACATGTGTGTGTACTCACCTGTGTGTGTACTCACCTGTGTGTGTGCTTACCTGTGTGTACTTACCTGTGTGTGTACTCACCTGTGTGTGTGCTTACATGTGTGTGTACTCACCTGTGTGTGTGCTTACCTGTGTGTGTGCTTACCTGTGTGTGTGCTTACATGTGTGTGTACTCACCTGTGTGTGTGCTTACCTGTGTGTGTGCTTACCTGTGTGTGTGCTTACCTGTGTGTGTGCTTACCTGTGTGTACTTACCTGTGTGTGTACTCACCTGTGTGTGTACTCACCTGTGTGTGTGCTTACCTGTGTGTGTGCTTACCTGTGTGTGTACTCACCTGTGTGTGTGCTTACCTGTGTCGTTGGTCCCCAGGCAGAGCAGATCTGTGTGGACATCTCCCAGGTCCTGTCGGGTCCACGCAGCAGCAGCAGATCCAGGTACAGACCGTGGCCTCGACACTGAACCTTCCTGATCATCACAGACTCTGAGATTTACTCCTGTTTGTGCAAAACTCGGGTTTGAGACATGCAGTCAGTGATTTTTTCCAGACACATTTTTTAAAATATTGTGGGAAAACGTCCCAAAACCTAAAAGTAGAAGAAGAAGAAGAAGAAGGTCCTTTATTTGTCGCACAATAAGGAAATGTCAGTTTGATGCATATACACACACACACACACACTCATACATATACATATACACACACATCAAGGCAAACAGCGAACATCACTGCCGCGCTCCTTATCGGCAAAGTGGGTTAAGTGTCTTGCCCAAGGACACAACGACAGCAGACATCAGTGGAGTCGGTGGAGACGGTCTCGAAGGGGGATCGAATTTTGGAGCGGACTGATGAAAATAAACCAATGGGATGTGTTTACCGCCTTCACCCTCTTCCTGTTTCTCACGAGTGCACAAGTGCGAGTTATCAGATTTTCTAAAACCTAAAATGGCTGAACAGAAAATGCCAATTTCACGTTTGCTCCACTCTCCCTGATGTGTCAAAGAAAAGAAAATGCTGGATGTTTGGTTTGGTGGAGAGGGAGGGGAGGGGGGAGTGGTTTCCAGTTGGTGCTACGGCTAAGCTAACAACATCCCTTACTGCACCTTTAAAAGTGTGTGTCAGAATGATGGAATTGGATTTGTTGATTTGTTGATAATAATAATAATCTTTATGAAGCACTTTTCAAAAACAGAATTTACAAAGTGCTGCAGCATAAACTATAAAACAGTCAAAATACAAAATAATGAACCGTAGATACCAATGGTGTAGGTTTGGTTCCAATCTTGGTGGGGACATTCACTACGACCTGAGTCTACACCCATTGACACGGGGTCCAGAGTTTCTCCCCCAGAATTTGTTGTGTGATCACACACTATATTTGCAATAGTGTGTTGCCTTCTATACTAAACTCAGCTGTAGACTGAATGAGAAGCAGTTAAGGATGTTTTCTAATAGTTAAAACAAAATCAATTGGATCAGAGCTTCTGAGTTTTGTGTTGCGTTCATTCTATACTGACTTAAACCTAATCCAAATCTACATAATAGCCCTCACCTGAGGCTCTAACAGTTCAGGAACTGCTCTCGATACTTGAAATAAATCATGCTCTGATCTTTCAATTTCCTATAATAAATAAAAACAGAGGAGAAAATATTGAATTAGAATCTACAGTGAGTATCTCACTACATTGTTTGACATATACGATCAATCTCTAAAAACAATTCATAGTCCCATGCATACCTACAAAATTCCAACCTCGCCTGATGCACTGAAGGGCCTGTTGCTTCTACCTCAACATTCCCTATATTGTTCTCTCTTGTTGGTTGAGTTTCCTATGTATGTTAACAGAAGATTAATCATCACAATTCATAATTTGCTATTACTTGTGCTTTCTCTTACTTACTTTCCAACTGTTAAAAAAGTTCCTGATATCTTTTATCTTTTTTTGTGGAGGTGGCATTTTTTCTAAATTATATAAGAAGGTATAGAAAATCAAAAACAGACATTCATATACATGAACTGCAGAATCATTTATATAACTTGGCCAATGTCAAAAGTTACATAGTATTTCTCAATACAATGAGTTAACAAGAGTTTGGCAATAAGTAACAGTGTGGATTTTTCTATATTTTCTTTTTTTTTTATTCCACTCTCAACCCAAAAAGGCAAGTAATGAGTCACAGGGCTCTCAAGTATGCAAAATAAAAACTTAAATGACCTGTTGTGGTGTGTTTTGCGCACAACCAGCATGCATCGTTAACGCAATGGAAAATTTAGGTATCCGAGCTTTAATTTCGGGAGCGCTGGTTGCGCTTTGGGAAGAGTCAGGGGAGAGACATGTCAGAGACACAGGGGAGAAACGCGGGAGATACTAGGGAGACCCGCACTTGCAACATGGTTCTGTCTGCATATGGTCCGAGCTCGGTACCATGTTAGAGCTGTGCTTTCACTGAGCGCCGCGGCTGTCATTACAAAGCGGCAGCAGCTGCACCAGGACGTGCACATTCGAGTGCATCGCTTGAATGTGCTTAGAGCAAATAACAGCAAGTGCCCGCTGTCACACATTTCACAGAAATTACATTATCAGCAGATAAAGGTTGTAAATCGTGGATCCGTGGAATATTTTCATCCCTAGTTTATCCTGATTCACACAACACACCCACTTATACATTTTGGATAGTAAGAGCACAATAAGTATTTTTTCAGCCTTTCAACCAACCTGTTTCTTTATTGGAGCCAGTTCTGTTCTGTCTCTGTGCCGTGTGAGCTCCTCGGAACATTAAACAGTGCGCTGACAGATTAGAAATAACGTAAGTACTTTGAAAGGTAATAGATCTACAGTACTTTCCTCTGATTACTCACGTGCTACAACGCTCAGGGAACGAAAAAAAACACTTGCTTCACGCTGGCTAACTTTTAAAATTTAAACAGTCGCTCAGTGCTTCAGTTTGGCGCTGAAGAAGACAGCCAATCACTGCAGAGAACGGAACGGGTCACGTGCTGCTGCTGCTGCTGTTGCTCTGGAGGCGAGGAGGAGGCGCGACGTATGCACAAACGGAAGACATGTGTCCCGGACCGTCCGGGTCACGGGACATCATGTCATTTTGGTGGGGACTTTTTAGTCCTCACCAAATATTGGTGGGGACATGTCCCCATGGTCCCCACGCAAACCTACGCCCTTGGTAGATACAGGAAAACAATGAGACACAGGTGCACACAGACACACAGACACAGGTGCACACAGACACACAGAGACAGGTGCACACAGACACAGGTGCACACAGACACACAGACACAGGTGCACACAGACACACAGACACAGGTGCACACAGACACACAGAGACAGGTGCACACAGACACAGGTGCACACAGACACACAGACACAGGTGCACACAAACACACAGACACAGGTGCACACAAACACACAGACACAGGTGCACACAGGCACAGGTGCACACAGACACACAGACACAGGTGCACACAAACACACAGACACAGGTGCACACAGGCACAGGTGCACACAGACACACAGACACAGATGCACACAGATACATAGACACAGGTGCACACAGACACAGACACAGGTGCACACAGAAACAGACACAGGTGCACACAGACACACAGACACAGGTGCACACAAACACACAGACACAGGTGCACACAGACACACAGACACAGGTGCACACAGACACACAGACACAGGTGCACACAAACACACAGACACAGGTGCACACAGACACACAGAGACAGGTGCACACAGACACACAGACACAGGTGCACACAGACACACAGAGACAGGTGCACACAGACACAGGTGCACACAGACACACAGACAGGTGCACACAGACACACAGACACAGGTGCACACAGAAACAGACACAGGTGCACACAGACACAGGTGCACACAAACACACAGACACAGGTGCACACAGAGACAGGTGCACACAGACACAGGTGCACATAGACACACATACACAGGTGCACACAGACACAGGTGCACACAGAAACAGACACAGGTGCACACAGAAACAGACACAGGTGCACCCAGACACAGACACAGGTGCACACAGAAACAGACACAGGTGCACACAGACACAAGTGCACACAGACACACAGACACAGGTGCACACAAACACACAGACACACAGACAGGTGCACACAGAAACAGACACAGGTGCACACAGACACAGACACAGGTGCACACATAAACAGACACAGGTGCACACAAACACACAGACACAGGTGCACACAGACACACAAAGACAGGTGCACACAGACACACAGACACACAGACCCAGGTGCACACAGACACAGGTGCACACAGACACAGGTGCACACAGACCCAGGTGCACACAGAAACAGACACAGGTGCACACAGACACACAGACACAGGTGCACACAGAAACAGGTGCACATAGACACACAGACACAGGTGCACACAGACACACAGACAGGTGCACACAGACACACAGACACAGGTGCACACAGAAACAGACACAGGTGCACACAGACACAGGTGCACACAAACACACAGACACAGGTGCACACAGAGACAGGTGCACACAGACACAGGTGCACATAGACACACAGACACAGGTGCACACAGACACAGGTGCACACAGAAACAGACACAGGTGCACACAGAAACAGACACAGGTGCACCCAGACACAGACACAGGTGCACACAGAAACAGACACAGGTGCACACAGACACACAGACACAGGTGCACACAAAAACACAGACACACAGACAGGTGCACACAGAAACAGACACAGGTGCACACAGACACAGACACAGGTGCACACAAACACACAGACACAGGTGCACACAGACACAGACACAGGTGCACACATAAACAGACACAGGTGCACACAAACACACAGACACAGGTGCACACAGACACACAAAGACAGGTGCACACAGACACACAGACACACAGACCCAGGTGCACACAGACACAGGTGCACACAGACACAGGTGCACACAGACCCAGGTGCACACAGAAACAGACACAGGTGCACACAGACACACAGACACAGGTGCACACAGAAACAGGTGCACATAGACACACAGACACAGGTGCACACAGACACACAGACACATGTGCACACAGAAACAGACACAGGTGCACACAGACACAGGTGCACACAGACACACAGAGACAGGTGCACACAGACACATGTGCACACAGAAACAGACACAGGTGCACACAGACACACAGACACAGGTGCACACAGAAACAGGTGCACATAGACACACAGACACAGGTGCACACAGACACACAGACACATGTGCACACAGAAACAGACACAGGTGCACACAGACACAGGTGCACACAGACACACAGAGACAGGTGCACACGACACATGTGCACACAGAAACAGACACAGGTGCACACAGACACAGGTGCACATAGACACATAGACACAGGTGCACACAGACACCGGTGCACACAGACACAGACACAGGTGCACACAGACACATAGACACAGGTGCACACAGACACACAGACACACAGACACAGGTGCACACAGAGACAGGTGCACACAAACACACAGACACAGGTGCACACATACACACAGAGACAGGTGCACACAGACACACAGACACAGGTGCACACAGAAACAGACACAGGTGCACACAGACACAGGTGCACACAGAAACAGACACAGGTGCACACAGACACACAGACACAGGTGCACACAAACACACAGACACGGGTGCACACAGACACACAGAGACAGGTGCACACAGACACACAGACACAGGTGCACACAGACACAGACACAGGTGCACACAGGCACAGGTGCACACAGACACAGACACAGGTGCACACAGAAACAGACACACAGACACAGGTGCACACAGACACACACAGACAGGTGCACACAGACACAGGCACAGGTGCACACATACACAGACACAGGCACAGGTGCACATAGACTCAGACACAGGTGCACATAGACACACAGACAAAGGTGCACACAGACACAGGTGCACATAGACTCAGACACAGGTGCACATAGACACAGACACAGGTGCACACAGACACAGACGCACATAAGGGCAGGAGCAGACACAGGAAATACAGTGAAACGAAACCACAAACTACAAGAAAACTACAAACAAGACACTTTCTATACAGCGACCTGGCTTCTCAAAAACATTTTCCCACAGACATCAATGGGTTTCTGTAAAAGACAATAAAAAAATAATGAAAAAAAAATAATAATAATAATTCTTATAATGGATTCTTTTATCTCAATAAGTCTGGGAGCACGTTCATACCAAACACAGAATGTTCATGTTTTAAGATTAGGATTAAAATTAAGATTAGAGACGCACAGCACAAGATAAATGGAATAAAATAAATCTCTATCTTTAGCATAATAAAGAAGCAAGAAACCAGAATATGGCCTCAAAAACATTTTCAACGTCCATTACTCAAACATGAGTCATTTATTACTGCAGTGAAACGAGATGAGACTCCGTGAAGGTCTGAGTCCCGGCACCTGTTGGCCTTACACGTACATCCACCTGCATCCACGACCCAAACCTGTGTGAGAAAGCCATGGATCTCACCCTTCTGCATTTCCTCTTGCGTTTTAAACTACTCCCTCCCTGCGGCTTCTTCACTCTCGCTTCCCAATTATTTTCCCTCTGATTGAACGTTCCCATTGAGCGGCCACTCACAGAGGCCACAGTGTAAACAGCTGAGAGCCGAGAGAGCGACTCGTTGGACTGGTTTCCACATAACTCAAGAAGGTGTGACACAGATAACCCGGCCTTTGTGACGGAGCAGGCAGAGCGCTCAGACTGACGAGTGGCCCCTGCGACTTTAGAAGGCTTTGATCAGAGCTGCACAGAAGAAGGACACATGAATGACAGGTCTCGCACCTGTCATTCTGAGCCTGGGGACGCCGCCGGACCACGAGCTCTGACAGGTATTTACATTGTGTCTGGGCTTGTTGACCTTTGGGGCGGTCAGGAGACGTCAGATTGAAACATTAGACACAGTCACGGTTACGATATTTGCGATGCTTTGTTGTGTAGAAATGGGAGTGGTATCGGTGGGTATTAAGCACAAGGGTCTGAGGTGTGATGAGTTGGAGTTAGAGGTGGAATATTTGTCTTCTCCTTCATGTTCTCTGTGAGGTTTTGGATGAGATCATGCAGAGACAGATTGATTTCTTGAATTGATAATATTCTAATCCATACTCTTGCTGTTGAACACACCTACATGTACTAAAACCAACTCTGTCAGTGCGATCCATGGCGCTCTCTGTGATATTGCAGCAGACTTAATCCATTGAAAAGATGTTTTAAGTTGTTTTGAATTGACAATCGTTGCTACAATAGTCCCCTTCAGTTCCTGTTAAAACTACTAGTGTACAGAGACGTGTTGGCTTTGTTGGCCCACAGACAGCTGTCTTTGACCTAATCTGGCAACACATCATGAGCTCTCATGAGCTTTCAAATTCAAGTGTTTTGTGGTCATTGTACTTTTATAAAACGTATCTACAAGATGAAAACACTTTTTTTAAACTTGAAAATTGTTTTTGTTTCTGGACTCATCATTTCCTCTTTGAATCTAAGGCAGACATGTTTATTTGTATTGCACTGTTCATATCCATCCATCCATCCATCCATCCATTTTCTTTAATCCATTTCTGGGTCAGGGGGGTGGCAATCAGAGATGCCACCCAAGCCCAAGGCACTGTTCATATTTTAACCTTAATTTAACAAAGAAAACCAAGATTCCTGTCCTGATCTAGAGGCATTCCCAACCCTCAAAATATTTATTTAACTCTTTGACTGCCAGCCGTTTTTGATGATTTCACTGATTATCAAGACCCACAGAATATTTTTTCCGAAGATTATGTGAATTATCAAACCAGATTCTGAAAGACTGGATTGTCTACTTGATCTGAAAAAATAATTTTGTTTTTTATCTGTTTTTATTGTCCTGTAATCTCCAGTGGAATCTGCAGTGAGGGTCTCACATAAATACGTCAATGGCAGTCAATTAGTTAAAAACAGCCATAAACAAACCAAGGCCCGCGGGCCAGGTGCGGCCCTCTCTTGTCATGTTCTGTGGCCCTGTGTTCCTAACATAAAGTAGTCTCTGAGATCATCAACAGAGGTTCACAGTGTCATCCAGCCAACTTCAGCTCAGCCAATACATGCTGTACCTCGTTGGAAAGCCCTAGAATCCAGCTCTTGACTTTATGTGCACACTGACACTTGTTTTTGATTGTGTCACAAAACATTGTTTTTACAAATCATTTGTCATTCAGCCAACTTCAGCTCTGTCAAACATGAAAAAAAATATGGATGTGATGGACCTCATTTTCAAAGCCCTGACACTCTGCGTTATCTGCCCCTGGTTTTACTAAGATGGCTCTCTTGCTAAAGGGTCTGGGCACCCCTCATATAAAACATCCAGTTCTGAAACGTGGAATACATATTAACATAATTTTTGAGTGGCACGATGTCAAATGAAACCCATCTCAATACACAGGAGAATTAACACTGCAATTCCTTTATTAGCAATGGATGAAAAGTTATCTATACTTTTTATGTTTTTTCCAGAAGCATACAGAGCGGAGACATGAGTGACCCGCTGGACATCCCCAGCCCTCCTCTCCCCCACGCCCCAAACCCACCGCCGGCCCAGCCTCCACCTTATCCGGGCCCGAGGGGTAAGAGCTTTCCCATCCCAAAGTGTGTGTGTGTGTTTGTGTGGGGAGCGATGGGGCATGATAAGAAGCCAGGGGACGCACAGAAAGAGGCATTTGTCGCTCAGGCCTTGGCGGAGCACAGAGATTTCATTGTTAGTTTATGTGCGCAGAGGGGGGTGTTGTCTGTGGGCAAACCGGGGACAGGAATGCCAAATACTGTGGAAGCCATGAATCAAAATGGACGCTCTGAAACCTGTCCTTTTCTCCCCAAAAACAGCAAACGGAGTCAACGGCCCCGACTACGCTCTGCTGCGAGCCGAGAGAGAAGTGGTAGGAACAAGCACCGGTTCTTGTTTGCATTCACTCGTGCCCATAAACGAGACAGAGGTTTTATTAGTGTGTCTGTTTTTCTGACAGGGCATCTTGAATCACTGCTTTGATGACATCGAGAGCTTCATGGCCAAGCTGCAGCAGACAGCGGAGGCAGCGACAGTCTTGAACCAGAGGAAGAAGAAGAAGAAAAAGAGCAAAAAGCAAAGTGCTGAAGGTAAACAAGACAGATGTGTGTGTTATAAGTGCTCTGCCACACACTGGAAGTCTGCAGGTATAACTTTAAAGAGACGGATCAAAGCAGATTCAAAGTGTCTCCCATTCGTTTCCCGACAGAGGATCTACTCACGGCCAAAGCCAAGCCTCCGCCTGAAGAGGAGTTCGTGGACATCTTCCAGAAATTCAAGTATTGCTTCAGTTTATTGGTAAGACCCAGTTTTCAAATTTCAGGTTTAAATTCTCTTGTTTTATCTGAACAACAAGTGGTATAAGGAGGAGAGGGGAATAATAGTGAACATATATGAACATAAGAAACCATTGTAAATATGAAAGAATATAGACCTCCTGCAAAGTAGTATTATAGTGTACACCTGATGTCGCTGTATCAATATAGTACACAATATGAAGTGATGTCACAAATGGCACAAAAACAATGAAAATAAATTGGGGTTGATTGATTATTGGACCAATTTTAGGCCTCCTATGGATCAATGGCATGTTATTATTGCATTTCTTGTGTTTTGGGCTGTCTGATTCCCTGTTGGTGAATCGACAACTTTGTAAAATCCTACCAAGACGAGTGCTGTTGGGATTTTCAGGCTATACAGAAAATACATTGAATTTAACAATATTGGCCATTATTATATGACTTGGACCGTACACACGCTCTGATTGGCTGATTTGCGGTCTGATATTTTCCCATCTCAGACCGTTTCCATGACAATTGGTCCGCAGTGCGTATCAAATTTGATATCTTTCCTCGGTTAAAAAAAGAATGAGCAACAAGTTCGAAGAGCCAGAGGAATTAATAACAGCAAATAACGACGAAAACACAACTCCTAACAGTCAACAAGAGTTGTACAGATCAGAAAGCTAAAAACACGATTAGGAAAACCAAGGCGGAGATCGATATTTGCATAAATTAAAAATAGTCATATAATAAAACATTTATAAACCTTGTTTGCTCGGTCTGTACAGAGAAATATCAGACCGTCTGATATTTCTCTGTACAGACCTCGCGCTCGTTTAATAAGTCGTTTATGTTTTTTCTTCTTCAGATTTTCTTCTTATCTCTTCCTTGTAAAATGATGGCTCTAGTCCAACTACCTACTGGTGTAAACAGTGACATATCTGAACCAAACACAGACATGTATTAGTCGCCTGCACAGCACCTGTAGAGTCTGTAACGTGAAATGACATCCTTTTGATAAAATCACATGAAATACAGGTCATGGTCTGTTGAGATCTCGCTCTCCTGTTCCACTGTCACCTCCAGTTTCTACAAAGCTTTTCTTCTGCGTTATTTGTGTAGTTAAGTAAACACACTTGGAGCTTTGTATTAATCATAATGTTGACTCTGAGGTGACACTAATGCATGCAATTACTCACTACACCCATATTATCACTTTGGCTCCTATATGTATCGCCTCCTTAATTTCTATAGATCGTATCGGCCGTGAAGTTATCCCATACTTAATAATCATCAACAATGACACATGTTTTTTTAACAGGCTCGTTTGAAATCAACTATTTCCAACCCGTCATCGGAGGAGCTCGTGCATCATGTGTTCAAACCTCTGGACATGGTGAGTCCGACCAATCACCACTTATCCATGATTAAAGGAGCAATATGTAAAAATCTGGTGGTACTGCAGCCTCTCCCACTCTCACTCAGGTTGCCAGATATGCAGACAAATCCAGCTGGGACCATAACAGCTGAATAGACAAGCGTTTTGTCAAAACCAGATCTATACCCAACAACTTTTTCACAAAGGCCCCGATAGAAATCAGTGTTTTATTCCTCATTTTGTTATTGATTATTTGAGAATTATAAAGAGACCTTTTTACTACTGTGGCCACATGTTACTTTACAAGTGAGATTAGCTCGAAGCGGTGAGTTCTGGCAACCCGGATCACAGACTTTCTGATTGGTGAAACAGTGGCGTTGTGAAAATCAAATATCTCGGCTGAAATCCTCATATCAGTTAAAGAAGTATTCAAAAAGACCACGGTTTACTACCTTTTGACATATTAGGGCCATTTATTGATGACTTAAACTACTTACTTACAAAAATCAATCAAAATGTATATCTCTGTATAGATATAGTTCATACAGAATGCAACCAAAAGTGTTTCACATCGACAACATCTAAAATCAATTAAAACACACTGTAAAAACTCAAATGGCAAGTTAAAAAATAATAATAATAAAAAACCAGTATGAAAACTGCCAGTAAACTTCTGCTTGTACCGGAACAACCCATGTCTACGTTTTACAGAGTTCACACCAGGAATATTGACAGACAATTCGCCTGTAATGCAGTGTTTTTGGCACAGACGAAGAGTGCTCCTAGGAAAAGGCACCGGTTGTCACTGGACACCCTGTAAGCATGTGTCAGGTGAAAATAAAGTGCCGTGTCCTTTGTGTGATGTTGTTGGCCACAAAAGGCTGCTCTGGCACAGATCGTATCAGGAGAAAGTGGTCATTATAGAAGTGTACTATTAGGTCATGGAATTTGTTTTATGGAATGACATTAAAGAAGGAATAGAAAGTGTTTTTTGGCCATTAAAAATAATAACAACACTTTATACTTTTACTAGAAGAAGGTGAAATAATATCTTCAGGAGTAAATGTGTGGTTTAACATGCATTGTATCTCCCTGTAATTCCCTCTGCTGCCACAAGGAGGATTAGAATTAGTTTTTCTCTATTTTTTCTAAACACAAACATGTGATTGTAATATATTTTTTTTCGTTTTGGACTTTGAGAAAGAGAGCAGAGATGTTAGAGAAGTTGCCGTGTTATTAAAACGAAATGATCAGAACAGGTATCGGAGTTTCCTGGCAAGTTTTCATTCAACATGTCATAATAATAGTTTACACAATCGTTCAATCAATCAGTCAAATTCCTTTATCAAGCAAAATTAATAATAATAATAATGATAATTTTCTTGTTTTATTTTTAAACTGTTACCTCTTTACTTGTATAATAAATAAATTACAATTAAAACAATAAAAAAATAATAATAATAATGCGTTGGTTTTTTACGGCGCCTTTCAGGACACTCAAAGATGCTTCACATCTCATTATTATTCGTACAATTTTTTTCTTTTGTTTATTTATTTCAAACATGCACGAGATACAATTATTCACAGGAAAATATCATAATAAGAGAAAACAAGAAAACCTGTGCATGGTTTGAAAAGGGACTGGTCGAAGCAAAAAGTGTATATCAATCCAATCCCACATTGTAATCCAAAGTTCTCCATGAGCCGTTAAAAACAGACAATAAAATATAAAAAAGAAAGAAAACATAAATACTGCAAATTAGTCTTTTGCATTGATATTTAGCAGTTTTTTCAGCCTGGACCTAAACTTTGACGTGGCCTGTCTCACAAGCTCAGGGAGAGTTTAGCAGCATGAATCTGAAATGCTGCCTCCCCATGTTTAGTCCTGACTCTGGCACCAGCAGCACGTCCATCAGTGCATATGTTTCTGTTTGTGCCACAGATGGTGAGAACGACTGGGGGGCCGACGCTGGGGGCCGCAGTGAGCAGTCCTGCCCTGTCCTCGTCTGCCGTGACTCTGCTGCAGGACACTCTGAGCGAGGAGGAGAGGCAGCTCTGGACCTCTCTGGGGCCCAACTGGACACAGGCACGGTCAGGCTGGCAACCTGCTTTCCTTCTGGGCTTAAAAATATAATATAATATCTTATCGTATCTGCTTTATTGTATGGTATCTATTGTATTATTTCGTATCATATAATTTTGTATCATATCATCTCATATTGGTTGATTTGCGGAATTCTATTTTCCGGACGAGTTGAAAGGCTAAGGAAAATAACAGCAAATAACGACGAAAACACAACAGTCAAGAAGAGATTGACAACTTCGTTACAGACCAGAATGAAATAAACTTTTATTTTTAACGAAATATTTAACGCTAGAACACAATAAATTAACAAACAACCAAAAACAATAAATAAAATAGACTCAGTCTCTTAACAAAAAATGACCAGGAATAAAACTGCCAGGACCTTTGTAAAGAAAATATGAAACAGATGCCTCAAATGTCAATAATTTCTCAGACTTTATGGCAGATTACAAGAAAGAAATACCAACATGTTGACTTTGTGTGGCTTAAGACAGGATCTCTCAGGAGTAGTGTGGGTTCACCAATGGGGCGTACAGAAGTCCTGCTGCGGTAGCGCCCACCGGAAGTAGCGGGGCGGGCTTTGATGCTAACAGCTAAGCTAGCGGGTTTTTTTGTGTAAAGTTCTACTCCAAGAATGCAAGTCTGCAGCATCTCTGTGTTCAGAGACCTTCTAGAGACTTTATATAACAGCAGTATGTGTTCACGGAGGTGCGCCATAAGTTTATTTTATTGGTATGGTACGGTACTTCTGCATCGGCGAACACGCTAACGCTAGCTGCGCTAGTTTAGTCACTAATCAAGCGAATGCATAGCTGCCGGCATATGTTCACAACTACTGTGTCCCCCATTGTCAATCCTGGTTAAGTCCTGGTTTAGGTCCTGTTTTGGCTGTATTTTGTATTTTTGAGTAATTTCCGTCTGCTTGCTAGACCGCTAATGTTCCCGTGGCCACTTTGCGGCTCTCTGACCCGAGAGAGACGGGGGAAACAAACCAGCATGCAAATGGGATTTATCGCGGCCAGAAAAGTTATTGAGCAAATTTTATTTATCGTGCGATTAATTGATTTATTGACTATCGCGACAGGCCTACGGGACATATAGAGTCACTCGGAGGGAGACACAGAGACTCAGGATAGAGACGGTTATGGCTCTTATGGAAGAGCCATAAGTGTATAATCATCATCAGAAACTAATTTCAAATACAGTCTTTTAACTCTGAAATGAAGTAGTTTAACTTTTACAAATGTTACAAATGTTGGGAACACTAGAGTCAAACATGTCTGACACCAAATACAAGAACCCAAGACTACAAACACTACAACATCTACAAACACAAGTAGCAAAGTCCTCCTAGTGCATTTCACCACACACAGTTTATTATATCACAGTCAGTCAGTCCCTGATCTCATAATGAATGGATCTTTCACTGAGTCCTGTGTTTCTAAATCTCTTGGTTTCAGTTTAGCTGCTGGCAACAACTGCAGCTATGTGTCACGCCTCAGAGCCCAGAGGAATGTAAAGCTCCTAAAGCACGGCTTTATCACCGTGAATACCATATGTTTGGATGTCACCAGATCACCCGGGTGTGTAAATATACGTATACATATTATATATACATCATATATACAGTATATACATCATGTATACAGTATATGTATATACAGAGGTATAGGATTTCAGAGGTACTATATTCTTGGCATGACTTCATTTTAACAGAGATGTTCCAGCAGCATTTCTGTGAAAGCTCTGAGTCTGTGTTTGTCCACATGACCCGGCCTGAATACAAGCTGCAAGGCACAAGATGGAAGTCATCCAAGCATGATCTGTTGAATATTTGATGAAGACAGCAGCAGTACAGTTCTACTCATCCCTGTGAGCCATGATAATATACACAGAATATACATGTACAGAGAGGCATGAGCTGTGACAACAAGTGTGTACACACACACACACAAGTGTGTATGCATTTACACATGTGTTTAAACTACTGATATCTACATGGAGTGTCTCCACAAAGAAAATACTTTTAAATCAAATATCACCTGAGTGAGGAAATCTAACAAATAAACATCTGTCTCAGCGCTCTGTCTCAGCGCTCTGTCTCAGCGCTCTGTCTCAGCGCTCTGTCACAGAGCTCTGTCTCAGCGCTCTGTCTCAGTGTTCTGTCTCAGCGCTCTGTCTCAGCGCTCTGTCACAGAGCTCTGTCTCAGCGCTCTGTCTCAGTGTTCTGTCTCAGCGCTCTGTCACAGAGCTCTGTCTCAGCGCTCTGTCTCAGCGCTCTGTCACAGAGCTCTGTCTCAGCGCTCTGTCTCAGCGCTCTGTCTCAGTGTTCTGTCTTAGTGCTCTGTCTCAGCGCTCTGTCTCAGCGCTCTGCCTCAGCGCTCTGTCTCAGCGCTCTGTCTCAGTGTTCTGTCTTAGTGCTCTGTCTCAGCGCTCTGTCTCAGAGCTCTGTCTCAGCGCTCTGTCTCAGCGCTCTGTCTCAGCGCTCTGTCTCAGCGCTTTGTCTCAGCGCTCTGTCTCAGCGCTCTGTCTCAGCGCTCTGTCTCAGCGCTCTGTCTCAGCGCTCTGTCTCAGCGTTCTGTCTCAGCGCTCTGTCTCAGCGCTCTGTCTCAGCGCTCTGTCTCAGCGTTCTGTCTCAGCGCTCTGTCTCAGCGCTCTGTCTCAGCGCTCTGTCTCAGCGCTCTGTCTCAGCGCTCTGTCTCAGCGCTCTGTCTCAGCGCTCTGTCTCAGCGCTCTGTCTCAGCGTTCTGTCTCAGCGCTCTGTCTCAGCGCTCTGTCTCAGCGCTCTGTCTCAGCGTTCTGTCTCAGCGCTCTGTCACAGAGCTCTGTCTCAGCGCTCTGTCTCAGCGCTCTGTCTCAGCGCTCTGTCTCAGCGCTCTGTCTCAGTGTTCTGTCTCAGTGCTCTGTCTCTGTGTTCTGTCTCAGTGTTCTGTCTCAGCGCTCTGTCTCAGTGCTCTGCCTCAGTGCTCTGCCTCAGTGCTCTGTCTCAGTGTTCTGTCTCAGTGTTCTGTCTCAGTGTTCTGTCTCAGTGTTCTATCTCAGTGTTCTGTCTCAGTGTTCTGTCTCAGTGTTCTGTCTCAGTGTTCTGTCTCAGTGTTCTGTCTCAGTGTTCTGTCTCAGTGTTCTGTCTCAGCGCTCTGTCTCTAAGTGCACATCTACCCAGAGCGAGACGTGGACATCACACCCAGCCCCCTGTAGCCCCCTGTAGGGTAATCCACTTGTCAGCGAAACCCAGGTGACATTTCTGCTTCACCTCAAAAAGGTCAGCCTTTAATTATCCCAAATGCCAGCAAGCACTGCACCTGCAAAAAAGAAATAAGCGGATAAGCGGCAGTGTGCGTGCTGGTCAGATGGCGGCCTGTCTCCTTCACAGCCACTGAGCGCTACTGTGTGTGAGTGAGCAGAACCGGACCATCTGCCCACCTGCATGCACTCATGCACACACAGCCATAAACACACACTCCCAATGTGCCACCCAGAGGCACCACCGCCAACCTCAGGCCAAAGAGACACACGCCTGCCCTTTAAGCAAAGACTATGCTGCAGGTTACAACAGAGCAGCACAGCACCATGTGCACGGAAACTTACAGCATTAGTTTGGACCAGATACCAGGACCACAAACCAGGACCAGATACCAGGACCACAAACCAGGACCAGATACCAGGACCACATACCTGGACCACAAACCAGGACCACATACCTGGACCAGATACCAGGACCAGATATCAGAGCGACTGGTGTCACTGTTCACCACATGCAACAGGCTGTGGGACCACAAAATGACAAATATATGTTTTCATTCTGGAACTTGTTGGTTCAATAATGTAGCATTTAAAGGAAGAGTAGCAGGAACAAAGACAGGGCCTCTGGCACCAGATGGAACTCTGTGTTTCACTGCTGATTGAAAGGAAGAGCAGCTTCCGCTCCTCTGTATGCTACATGTTTCTTCTCTGTTTGGGAGAAACTATGATAGATTTATGGACAGAGCTGCAGCAGGCGACAGAGCTCATAAATATGGGTCAGCAAAGTGACAGCAGGCACACATCAGGTCACCGCCTAAATAAAGTATTTCCTAAAAAAAAAAAAAAAACAGTGCAGTGACAAAAGTGTGGCCGTATATGGCAGAGGATAACATGCATAAACTGGCTTCAGGCCGCTCTGCGGGGGGCTCTGCTGGGGGGCAGGAGGGGGTCTGGTGGATCAGCCTCAAACCACTGTGCTCAAAACAAGGGGCACAAACACAGCTCCCAGATCACGTCTCCATCAGCTTCTTCTTCTTTGTGCTGCCATTTCTGCACCTCTGAGAAAACTGGGCCGCCCTTTCTGTTTACACAGCTGGCTTCATGGAAAGCATTGCCTAATATGAAATATGAACAGACAGTGCAGGAGTGAGGGTTAGGAAAGGGGGAGAGGTAATGGATGTAACAATGCAGAAGTAACACCTCAGTTTGTCCAGAGGGCGCCTCCTGTGGCCAGGGGTCCACAGCGCAGGACCCTTCAGCTCCAGAATATATCACTGGGACATACAGGATTCTAAAGGAAGCCGCCTTAGTTGTTTAAAAACAAATCCAATAAAAACAAATATAATTGAAGAAATGTCTTGTTTATTTCATGATGCTCGAGAGGACAGAGAATACTGAAGAGACAAAAGAGAAGACAGAAAACTCAAATAACTGTTTAAGTTTTACAAAAAGAACCTTTGAACATTTTACAATGATGTTGTTCAGTTTGTGCCTCAATCTTTCTGCTAATGGAAAACGTTGAGTGCTCTTGAGATTTGTAGTCCAGGCAAATACACTTGAAATGATGTTGTGTTTCTTAAAGGGAGGAGAGCATGAATGAGGCCCTGCTCCTCCACTCCTCTTTTCTGAGCTGGATTCTCCTCCATTCCCCACATGTACAGTAAACACTCCACTGTCAGATTTCAGGTTTATTTTCGACTTTTAAAGAACATTCATCTGAGAGACGGAGGCTTTCAAAGATGTTTCTCTGTGTCTTTAATGAAGCCGTTTTGGTGAAAGTGTGTGTAGCATCAGGATATGGGTGGAACAATGTGAGGTGAGGAACAGAAGATGCAGAGGCTGATGACGCACTCGGCTCAGGGGCCCTTCCTGTTTGTGCCACTCACTTTCAGGAAGATCAAACAGAACCGTCTCGGACCCTCTCCAGGTGGACGCTCACGCTCCACATGATGTGAGCTTTGTCTTCGTATGTTTGCTCTGATTGTTATTGAATGAACTTGCATAGAAAAGTAAATCAGCAAAGAAGTTTGGGTAAACGATATAATAGGCATTTCCATAATAATATTTCTCTGTCTGCTGTGGCGCAAGAAAGAAATCTTCTCCAACAAAGACCAAACCTCTCCTCCCCCTCTTCCTCCTCCTCCTCCTCCTCCTTCTTCTCCTGAGCTCAACATGTGTTTTTCATACGATGTAATGAAGAGAATAAACTAAATAAAAAGGAAGATAAACAAACGATGCATGAAAATCAACTTCTGAAAATGGTTCCAACATGAGGCTAGTCAGCACATTCGTTTATAAAAGACGAAACTTTGTCTCCAGACAGAAAAATGAACTGCTCCAAACTGAGGAAACGTGAATCTGGAGAATATAGAGCAATAATTATGCTCTTACTCTAAGTGCCATGACACGTTACACTCACAAACAGACAAATGCCCACGATTGTAAAGTGCTTTGTGACTCTGGTCGGTGAAAGGCGTTACATAAAGATTACTTACTGACTTAAACATATCGGGCCACTCATTCATTAAAACAAAAAGTACAGTGATTTCTAAAGAATTTCAGCCAATACTATATTTAGCACGAGATGAGTTCTTGTGGTAAATGCAAACACTGCCTTCACCTTTGTGCGGCGCTGATCATGTTTTACTCATGTTCTATATTTTTGCTTGGTTAACGCTGGAAGACACGGACGTCCTGAGCGCGCCGAGCAGCTGACGGGGGATTTCCAGCTCACTATGGACAAGCTCTTCTATGTTGGAGATCGTCAAAGCAGCGGCACACGCAGCAGCTGACCCAGGATCAGTGCCTGCAGTGGGTGGTTCGGCATTGACCCCCCCACCCCCGGCCGGGCTTGCTGTTCTCTCTGCGCGTCACTCACCCCCCTGCAGGAAGAGCACATATTTTCATGACTGGTGCCAGCGGTGAGATAAGCAGACGCAGAATGTGGGGCAGACGCGGCTCACATGTGGACTGAGTGTGTTGTTTATGAAGCCGGTGGTCACAGCGGTGGAGTGGGTCACAGCGGTGGAGTGGGTCACAGCGGTGGAGTGGGTGATGGGCATATGATGGTCCCTCCCTTCACGCCACATGGATCTACGGTCATATGCAAGAGTCTCAATCCTCCCGGCATCTGCTGCAGCAACATTCACCGCAGACAAGAACAAATATCCCTCGCAGGAGCAGAGTTCATGACAACCGTGACCTTAACGGGACGTCCTTAAATGCACACAGAAAATCCATTTGCAAATTTTACTTTTGTTCCTCCTCAAAGAATCCAACACAAACTGAAGTAATCAAAATGACAAAAGCAGGAAATTTATGTCAAAGCAGAATATTGAAATGTCTCACATTCTGCAGTCCAATAGAAGGGCTGAATAACCTTCCTTGGCATCTATTAAAGAAGCTATACCCAATTTTTTTAGGAGTTCATAACAATGGGCCTCATTCACGAATAACTTCGTAAGAAACTTCTCAAATTTCTTCTCAAGTTGTCCTTAAGTAGATTTCTAAGAAGTCCCTACGTGGGATTCATCAACGCACTCGTAAGCCGCTGAATTGTTCGCAGTTGTTCTCTTAGATCAGGCATGTCAAAGTCAAATACATCAGAGGGCCACAAAAAAATGTTTGCTACGCGCCGAGGGCCGGACTGGTTCAATGTTTCTCAACATCCAGAGGCAGTGCCGGTGACACCTGTTGGCTCGATAAAATATGCTCTAAAGCCAATCCTCATACTGTACATATTAGATGTAATAGACATCTGAGAACATGAAAATAGTAAAAAAAAGAAATAGCTCAAACTTGGTGAAATGTAAAAGAGCAGTCTGGACGTCTTGACTGGGCGACACGGTGGCTGAGTGGATAGCACTCTCGCCTCTCAGCAAGAAGGTCCTGGGTTCGAATCCCGGTTGGACCAGGGCCTTTCTGAGTGGAGTTTGCATGTTCTCCCTGTGTCTGCGTAGGTTTCCTCCGGGTGCTCCGGTTTCCCCTACCACTAAAAATATGTACAATAGGTCTGGCATGTGCCTCCTGTTCTGGTGACCCCCACTCCCAAAAATAACAATTGTAAACCGCTTTGAGACTCCGATGTGCAGTGAAAAGGCGGTATATAAATAAAGATTACTTACTATTACTTACTTGTCGGGCGTTTTTTGATTAAATCTGAAGAATGGATTATACTTTGGGAAATACAAGTGGATGTTCTTCTTCAATGAACAGTTACGGAGAGAAAGAGACTAAGCAAGGATGGGGAAAGTCTAATTTGTTGGAGCAGCAGAAGACGAAAGGTAAAAAACAAATACAGACTGATTTATTTTGTGCCCATATTATGCGTTATATCTTTTTAATGCAAATGATATCGTTTACACTTACATATAAATATAGCTGAGAAAATAAGCTTTAAAATGATATATAGCTTGTGGCTTATGAAGTTCAAAATACATCTGCTATTGCCAGCAGATGTATTTTTTTCCTCGTTTGCTCCCGCCGGCGGGGGCTAGCGAGCTTAAGGGGTCAATACGTTGCCTCAATGGCAGGCAATGTCTTGGGGGCCATAGATAATTCATCCGCGGGGCCTTGACTTTGACACATGTGTCTTAGATTGATGAATGTGTGCGTGCCCGGTGCTTCATTAGCATAGGTACTTAGCATAAGTAACCGCCCACTAATGCCCATAAAAGGGACTGCAGGGCCGTGTGCAGACGGCAGAGGAAACAGCAACAGGCCTAAAGCAAAGAGTTACACGGAGCAAAAGAGTCACCCTTTTTTCTTCTTTTGCCAGACTGAGAATAAAGTTATAAAATGTTGACTTAAAAGTCAAAATATTATGAGAATAAAGTCGAACTAGCAAAATTATGAGATTATTTTAAAGATGAATCTCAAAATGTTTTGAGATTAATCTCAAAATATTTTGGACCCTGGGAGGAGATCCAGCGCGGACCAGCGCTGAGACCAATGCAGACCCGAGGAGAGACTGGAGTGACCAGCACACAGAAACCAGCGCGGACCTATAGGAGAGACCGCATAGACTGGAGTGACCTGACTGGAGAGACCGCATAGACATAAATCACATTTCAAAATAAAATAATACATGAATAGCGTTTTCATACGATGATAATAAGTACAGTGGTTCTGTCCTGACCTGACTGGAGAGACCGGTGCGCAGAGACCAGCGCGGACCGAAGAGAGACCGCATAGACCAGACTTGAGAGACCAGCGCGGACCCGTATGGATCCAGGAGCATGAAGCACGGACCCGTATGGAGAGACCAGTGCAGACCCGTATAGATCCATGGGAGAGACCAGCGCAGAGACTCAGCGCGGACCCAGTAACCTCCTGCAGCAGCAGTATATATGCCGTTGTTCTGTGGCCCGTGGATAAAGAAATGCCCCCTATAAATAGGAAGGGGTCACTAATACACGGCAAGATTTCCAATGTATTTGATAAAGCGTTGGCACATTTCATTTCAAAATGAATTAAAAAGTAGGCCAGATCTGCAGTGAAAAAGGCGGTATATAAATAAAGATTACTAATAAAGATTACTACAAATAAATAAATACATACATCGATATGACGGACATATCACTGGAATGTTGTATTTTTATTCAACTTCACCAAAGAGGACAACCCCGGCATGTGAACATGTCGGCACTGAATGCGTACGAGTGCTCCTGAGGACTCGTAGGATTTGTACTTGCCCAAGAGAAATTCTGGTTACGAGAAATATTCGTGAATGCCACTTTCTTCGTAAAAACCTCGTAAGTAGGATTTACGTACAAATCTGTTCCTAAGAACCGTTCGTGAATGAGGCCCAATGCTTTTTACTACATACAAGTTGTATCATAATACATCATTTAATTGAAAACTTGAGGTCATTGTTTCAGCTGTGTAAGAATTACAAGCAGTGAAAAGTGCTGAGTAGAGTCTGAGCGGGACGTTCTCCTCCACTCACAGAACAGCACTGCGCAGCTGAACACCAGGGCTTCGACTTCAAAATTCAAATATAATTCTAAAATGAAAAATATATATATATTTGAACAAATATTTGACAGCCCTTATAATTTGAAATGTATTTAATGACTGCAAATAAAATAGTTAGCTCCCAAAGGTTTCACCGGGACGTGCTAGGCAGGTAACAGCTAAGCTAGCTAGCTGTTTCATGGTAACTTCCGGGTTTTTCGTGATCGCTTTTTGTCACATTAAAGCAGTATTTTTGTCATGAAAACGTTGACAGCAAATTCTGAAATCGTCCGTGCATGTGTGTTAAGGATGTATCTGTATACTGTATTGTCCGATTGACGTTTAATGGTGTTGATTGATTGATATGTATTTGTTTATTGAGCGTGGCTAGCTCTGCTAGCTTCTCTACACAGACAAGTGTGCAGAGAAACTGCACAGTGTAGAGACAGGCGCTGATAGCTTGTTGTACTTGCAGAGTAATGGCAGTATTTTACACACCTGAATTACAAACAGAGATTGCGTTGCCAAAGGGCAGCGCTCATTATTGGTTTGAGAGTTCTGTTATCAGGGAAAAATGATCGGAAGAATTACATTCAAGTCAATGGAGTGTTCTACTGCTGCAGAGAGGAGCTG